CTAGTACTGAACAGGTGCACGAGGCACGTGATGTGTGCCCTGCTCTGCACCAGCAAAGGCTTGTGCTTGCTCTCAGTGGAGACACCGTGCTGGATGTCCTCATCAAGGCTGGGCTGGGCTGGCAGGCCTGGGGCTGTGGCCGGGAGAGGCGTGGCCTGGCCCACCCGCTTCAGGTGTTCTGACCTCCCTCCTTAGCATCCCAAGGCTGCTGCTGCTCCATGTTCTCCTACAGGGCATCGCTGCTGCTCCTGCCTGCCATGCACACACCTGTTTGCCCTTCCTGCAGTGGCCCAGGGCGCCCTCGCCCACCTCCAGAGTGCTGTCTTCTGTTCCCATGTATGACACCGTTGTCCCATTCTTCTGGAACCCTCCCCTCCAACGCCTGGGATGGCTCCTCTTCAGATCTCCAGTCTGGCTGTCGGCCTCCACTTCGCTGTCAGCCAGCCCCTCCTCCAGGCTCAGGCTGCGGCTGCTCCCTCTGGCCTGGTGCCTCCTTTCAGCCGCCACTTCTCAACCGCCTCAGCCCCCCACCCCCGCCCTTTCCTTTCCCTGAAAGACCCCCTCCCAGTTCCTCATTCCTGTCATGGGCATCAGTTGTTTTTTTTGTTGTTGTTTTTTTGGTACGTGCCCCTAGCAGGAACCAAACCCGGGACTCTCTGGTCCACAGGCCGACGCTCCAACCGCTGAGCCAAACGGGCCAGGGCGGCATCACTGTTTTCCTCACTCATCTTTCCCTTGGTTTCCAATTACATTAATGAATTGCTGCAATTTATTTTTTTTCTGTCCCCCTCTCCAGCCCCTGGTTTTCCCACGAGCCCCTCTGAGTCTGTGCTTCTGTCCGCCTGTGTGTCCTCCGAGCCAGGGCCTGCCTGGCCTGTGCCGCAGCCTTGGGTGGGACCCACCACCACTGCCACTGGGGCGCTGTCTCAAACTTCCTCAAACCCCGTCTGCATCCTGCCTCACTTCCCCGAAAGCACCGTTCATCTCCTGTCCTCCCCTCGGGCTTCTCTTGGTGACAGGTCACATGACTCACTCGTGCCAGCTCTGTAGGTTCCGTTCCCACTCTGCCCCTTCCAGCCAAGTCACCATCCTCTGAACCTCCGAGCCTCATGGTTCAAACCGGGATGAGGAGGGCCGCTCCCAGCGGTGACATGGGGGCCACCCACGCTGACGTCTGTGGTGCGGGTGTGGAGGGCGGGCGGAGTGCCGTGGGGTGGTAGGCTGGCACGGACTTGCGTGGCAGGGCTCAGGATTCCCACGCGCTGGTGGGTGTGGAGCTGAAGACTTGGCCCCTCTTAGCGAGCTGAGCCTGGCTGGCCTTGGAGGCTGCTCAGGGAGCCAGCCCACGGAACCTTTCTTGGCGTCTCCGCAGCCCCTGGACGAGAGTCACTGGACTGTCAGCCTCAGTGCCCTCAGGGCCGACTGGCTTCACTGAGTGCACAGGTGGGAGACTGGACCTGGACCCTGTGCCCTGGAGCTGGGTCCCGGCTGGGGTTCCTGCTGACCAGCTCCGCGGCAGCCACCCTGGGCAGTAGACCTGGCGGCCCAGGCAGAGGGGGAGCGGTCCCAGTGTGCCCTCCCAGCCTCTCCTTCCCCCGTTCCAGAGTTTTCCTTGCTGGCGACAGCCCTGCTTGTTTGATGTGCCCGTTATGCCCATTAGCCCGGGGCTCTTTGGCTCACAGAGGTGACCTGGTGGGTGTGAGGGAGACGTGGAGGGCAGAGAGACTCGTGCCAGGCAGGTCTGGCTGGCGTTGCAAGGGGCACATGGGACCCTAGTTGGGCCCTTCTGGCCTCTAGAATGTCCTGGGGTCCAATGCAGGTTGCTGGGTGACTGGGGACCATAGAATCCCGGCGTCTGCATTCTCAGTTTGCCCTTTTTGTGGCTGGGGACCGCAGCCCTGCAGTCCTAGGGCAGGCCTGGATGGGGCGCGAGGACCACGGTGACTGCATCCCTACCCTTTTCTGTTCCCAGGGAAAGTGACCCAGCGGGACCTTTCCTGTATGAACTGCCCCTACCCGTGACCTTGACTTTTCCTATCTCCTGCCCCCAAGCAGACCCCTTCCCAGTGGCCCCTGCAGTGTCCTTTGCTGGATGCTGGACTCTGTCTCTGCAGGGAACAGGGACTGAGAGGGTGTGAGCAGAGAGCATGGACCTGGACTTGAGGGAGAGACATGGTGAAGCTTCAGTGTCCTGCCCCCGCAGGGGTTCACAGCCAGGCGTCGGGCTGTTGTCTGGGAGGCTGAAGTGTGGATGGATATTCTGGCTTGGGCTGGACCCAAGGAGCCAGGGGCCTGGGGTCCCTCCCGAGTCTGAAATGTATGAGTCACTGAGCTGGCTCACAGTCCGGAAGTGGGAGGAGGGTCCTCAGATTGGAGCCCCGCCCCCCCCAGCTCCTGCACTGGACAGTCAGTGACTACAGGGTGGTCCTGCTGTTCCCACGATTTCTGCCGTTAGGATTGCACACTGCGCTTGTCCACTGGGGAGAGGGGTCAGGGTACCACAGAGACTGGCTCAGACCTCCCAGGGTCGTTGTTTCCTCTGGTGACAGAAAAGGGTCCCCCATCCCCTGGGGAGGTGGGCTGAAGTGAGGGCCTGCTGGAAAAATGATGGGGGACTCTCCAGCCACACCCCCGCCATGCCCTCGGGACCAGCAGGAGAGTTAGTCTTTCACTGTGGCCAGAGGCCCCGAGTTCGGCCCTCATAGGAGGGGCTGGCGGCCTTCTCCTGGGCAGGCCACGTAGGACATGGTGGGTGGGCCTTGCAGAGGGAAAGGCATGGAGTCTGCCCTGTGCTGTCCCTGTGGGTCACCCCGCCCTTGGCCTCTGGTTCTGGCTCATTCTATCAGAGTGGGCAACACCTCGGTGGGGTGTGCTGCCCCTGCTTGATGAGGGCGGAGCCCCTGACCTCCTGACTGCCAGGGGGCAGCTCTCCAGGGCTGGCCGTCCCAGCTGCAGGACCAGGGCCTGGGCGGGCATGGGGCGGGGGTGGGAGGGTGTCTGCCAAACGGGGCTGTGGATCGCCCCCCTTTTACCTGGTGCCCTATCCAGGTACTTGTCATTTAATTCTTAGTGCACCTCCCACAGGGCTTAATCCCCATCCACAGGTGGGGAGCAGGTGCAGAGGATTCCAGTGACATTCTCAGGGGCTCATGTGTACCCCAGGTCAGAGCCTGCTGTGGCCTTGGGCTCGCCCGACTCTGCCTCTGCTCTCAGCTACACCTCACCCTCCCTCCTGGGTGGTCTCTGGGTCTGAGCAGAGGCTGGAAAGCCCGTTGGGGCAGGAATTGGGTCAGATTTCCCTGCTGCAGCCAAGGAGGAGCCTTCTGGACCCCAGACAGAACACCGATTCCACCAATCACACCCCACCCACTGGGAGCTTTGGGCCTGGGCTGAGGACCTGGTCACTTGTCCCAGCACTACCCCTGACCAGCTCGCTGTGGGACCCTGGCCAAGTTTTGTCACCTCTCTGAGACTCCACCCTCATGTGTAGAAGGGGGACACTACCACGACTGCTGTTGAGAGTTTGAAACGAGGTGACACGGGCAGAGCACCCCGTGTTGATTCTAGCATAGGGTAGGTCCCCAGGTGCAGACCCAGCCCAGGGCCACCAGAGCACTGCCACAGCCCTTCAAGCCTCCAGAACCCCTTGCTGGTGACACCCTTGCCGCCAAGGGAATTGGGAAGATCTCTGTGTTTCCACTGCACTCATCAAAGCCCGTGACCCCACCAGGCAGGTCCCAGCCCCAGAAACCTCGAGGCCACACTCTGGGCCAGTTCCAAAGCAGAGGGCAGGCTGGACTGGCTGGCTGAACAGGGCCCTGTGAAGGGTTAGGAATGGGCTCTCTGCTGGGGCCCCTGGGTGCCCAGTCCCTTTGTGTTACCCTGGGGGAAACTGAGGCTGGGGGCTGCTTGGTGACAGCCCCAGGGCCCACAGGACAAGGAGGTGGGACCAGTCCTCAGCCTCGCCCGTCACACTTTCCCTCCGCAGTCCTGAATCCCACGACTTTTTGGCCTTGTCTTCCTCCTCCTGTGTGGGCCCCCTGAGCCCCCTCCCCTCCACTTCCGCACTGTTATCAGTGGCCTGGCCCAGCCCCCCACCCTCAGCCCAACCGCTGCACCCAGAAGCTGCTGGCTCAGGAGCCGCCTGCCGCTTTTGCTGAGTAGCCAGTCCAGAGGTGCTGTCTTGGCACAAACCGCTTCGGCCAAGCTCCCTCCCTCCCTCCCTCCCTCCCTCCCTCCCTCCCTCCCCGGGGCTCTGAATCCGAGTGCGGATTGGCTGAAGGAGCCAGAGCAGAAGCTGGTGGCCCCCATCCCACGCTGCCTCCAGGAAAGGAGGGTCCTGAGGCCCAGAGCGTGGTTGTGGGGGTGGGGGGTATTTGTCTGAGGTCACAAGGCTGACCAGGGAGAGCTCGGTCCAGGGGGCAGGAAGTGGGTCTGCCTTGCCTGGTTGTTTGAGGAATCTTTCTGCCTCAGCCCTGCCTGCCCTGGCTGGTCCTTCCTCCCTGGTCTGCCCTTAATTTTTCGTAAAATTTACATTAACAACAACAGCAGGGGCAGTTCCCACTTCAGTGTCCCCTGCGTGCCAAGGTCTTAAGCACATCTGTCTGCATTCAGTGACCCTTCAGGGAGGACAGGACCCTTCTGGGACTGTCCACACTGTGTAGAAGTGGAAACTCAGATTCTCAGCACTGGTGAATCGACAGCCACCTGTCGGACAAACAGAACTGAGCACCTGCCGTGTGCTGACCACCTGCTGTGTGCCACACAGCCCTAGGCCCTGGGCCGGAGGGGCTGGTGGACAATGGTGAGTGAGTCCTATTGCCTGCAAGAGACTTCGTGTTTGGTCCTTCTGCCTTGGTGGCGGCCTCACTGGTAGCATCCCCATTGTACAGATGGGGAAACCGCGGCCCAGACTGGCAGGTGTGCTGTCCAGGGCCGGTCCCTGGGCTCAGCTCTCCAGGTCTCAGGACCCCACCTAATGCTTGCTGTTTGCCTCACAGCCAGCCCCACCCAGACGAGGGCCACCCGCCGCCCCTGGAAGCTGCCCCGGTCTCCTGGAAGAGTGTGGGCCCCTGCAAAAGCCGCAGGGAGTCCCCGGGAGACCTGGTGGAGCGCTGTGCAGGGGAGGACACCCAAGGTGAGGAGGGCCCCGCAGCCGCCCAGCTGGCCGTGTCCCGCCTGCGCAGCTCGTCCATGGAGATCCGCGAGAAGGGCTCGGAGTTCCTGAAGGAGGAGCTGCACAAAGCCCAGAAGGTGGGGCCTGGGGCGGGACCTGGGAGCTGGGCTCTCACCGAAGGCCCAGAGATCTCAGGCCCCTATCAAGGCCTGCGCGGGGCAGGACAGAAGTCCAAACAAAGGACAGACCGGGTCTAAGATGACTTGTAGAAGTCCACTTCTCTGACGACCTGCTCCAAGCTCTAATGGACTGACGGTTGGGGTTTCAACCTCCTGCTAGCAGCTAAATGGAGAATGTCTCACAAACTAGAGCAGCGGAGGAGGCAAGCTCAGGTCCCCCTCGGGGGCCTGGTGTCCCCAGTGGCAGGCCTGGGGCCTCTGAGGGGCTGACAGCCACCCGCCTCGTGCCCTCCAGGAGCTGAAGCTGAAGGATGAGGAGTGTGAGCGGCTGTCCAAGGTCCGGGAGCAGCTGGAACAGGAGCTGGAGGAGCTGACAGCTAGCCTGTTCGAGGTCCGGTGACCGGCCAGCAGGGGGGCAGGCTGGGGCTGGGGCTGCTGGGCGTCCATCAGCTCCTCACCACTGCCTTCTTCCCAGGAAGCCCACAAGATGGTTCGAGAAGCCAACATGAAGCAGGCAGCGTCAGAAAAGCAGCTAAAAGAGGCTTGGGGCAAGGTGAGCCCCCCCCCACACCTGCCCAGGCCCACCAGAGCTCCTGCCCACCTTCCTACTGAGTCAGACCCTGGCATGGCCCAACGGGGCCACCAGGAATAGGCAACCAAGGCCCAGAGGGTGGGGCAGAGATTATGTCCCTGGATTTCCATGGTGCCACAGAGATCTTTCTGGGGACTTCCAGGGGCTGAGAGGATCCCAGGGTCATTGTCTCCCCCACCCCACGCTCATCCCCCCTCCACAAAGCAGAAACCTGTCTGCTGCGTGAGCCCATGTGTCCATCTGTAGTGTGAGGGCCGGGCTGTTTCTGGCTTGTGAGTGCCCGTATGTGGGAGGCCCAGCCAGCTCCCCGACATGGGCATCTCATGGAGTCCTGGCTCATGGGTGACCTCAGGCCGGCCATGTCTCCTCTCCGAGCCCATTCCCCTGTGTGTGAGACGGGTGTGGGTCCCCACCTCGGGGGCCGCTGGTGGGCTCGGTGCCCGTGCTGCTGAGCTGAGCTGGCGCGGCAGCCACGGTGCATCAACCCTGGGCTCAGGCTGGCCGCCATCTCGTCCTGGCCAGATCGACATGCTGCAGGCAGAGGTGACCGCCCTGAAGACGCTGGTCATCACGTCCACACCAGCCTCTCCCAACCGCGAGCTCCACCCGCAGCTGCTGAGCCCCACCAAGGCCGGGCCTCGCAAGGGCCACTTGCGCCATAAGAGCACCAGCAGCGCCCTCTGCCCTGTCGTGTGCCCAGCTGCGGGCCACATCCTCACCCCGGACAAGGAAGGCAAAGAGGTGAGGGGGGGGCAGTGGACGCAGGGAAGGGAGACAGTTCCGCTGTTCTCCCTCCGCTGTGTGACCTGGAGCCTGTCCTGCCCTCTCTGGGCTTCCGTGTCCCCTGGCTGGGCTCCTTGTAATATGAGACATACGGCCCTCAACTTCCGGGTACACTATCTGGGGGTGCCCCTCCAAGCAGCAGATGGTGTGTCTGCACCTGAGGCTGGCCTGGGGCCTGAGGGCGGCCTCCGGGGTCTGTGGAGACACATTCCCTCAGGCCAAAGGGGCTGTGCTGGGCTGGGGAGAGGCCTGGGCCCTGCTTGGCCACAGCCCTGAGGCCCAGGACTGCCTTAGGACACCCCTGGACTTGAGCGTCCTCGGGACCCTCCGGCTGCGGTGCTGAGACAAGTGTGGCCTTGGAGGGGCTGTCCCCCTCCGCGGCTGGGTACGTGGAGTGCTTGGTTCAGGCTGGACAATGGCCTATGATATCCTTGGCCGTGGGTCCTTGAGCAAGTGGGGACACCTGTCAGTGCCTCGGTTTCTTCATGCTGTCAATGGGGACTCTTGGGGCCCTAGAAGAACTGAAGAGATGTGGATGTCAGGCGCTCAGCTCAGGGCTGCACCCAGTCAGCCCCCATGAGGGCTCCGGTGGGGTTCGGCCTCCTGGGGTCTTCAACACCCAGGTGGCCCAAGCCCATCCTGTCCTGTGTCTCTGGAGCTTCGGGGAGAGGCGCAGGCCAGGCCTCTTGTCCCCACTCTGAGCTCTGACCTTCTGACTGGACACTAACATCCGCTTCCTTCTGTCTGCCCCTGTCCGCCTGTCTGTCTGTCTGCCCCTCCGGCCCACTCGCCCAGCCCGGGCTGCCCCCCCTCCTCTCTCTGCTCCTCTGTGTGGTCCCCAGCAAGGCGGTTCACCTCACCTACGAGCCAGCCTGGCAGCTTCCGCCTGGGGAGCCGCCTGCACCCCCCACCTCTGCTACCTCTCTCTCCTTTTCCCGACAGGTAATGGCTCTGTCCCCTCTGTCCCCTCTGCCTCACTCATTTCGCATGTACTCAGACATCACTGGGCCGAGGCCTCTCAGAGCCCGTGTTCCCTCCGGTGTGCCCGGGGTGCTGCGTGTGCCCGGGGTGCCGCGGGGCCTGGGGTACTGCGTGTGCCCGGGGTGCTGCGTGTGCCCGGGGTGCTGCGGGTGTCTGGGGGTCATTCTTCAACTCGCCCTCCTCAGGGAGGCAGTGAGTCTTCCGGGTGAGGCCCTGGACCCGAGCCTGCGACCCTGCAGTGCCAGGAAGCTGAACGCGCGCCTGGAAGGGACGCTGCGAGCTGGAAGGCTCTGTTGCAGGGGGAGGGAGTCTTCCTTGGGACTCAGCTCCCTGCACGGCCCCGGGGCCGGCCCACCGGCATGCTGCGACCTGCCCTGCATCCAGCCTGCCTCCCGCCTCCCTGGGCCCTGCCTGTCCCTGCCGGGTGGTCCCGGCGCCCTGACCGCCCCGCCCCGCTCCCCTCCCCCACAGGTGGACACAGCCCTGTTTGCGGAGTTTCAGGCCTGGAGGGAATCTCCCACCTTGGACAAGAGCAGCCCCTTCCTGGAAAGGGTGTACCGGGAGGACGTGGGCCCCTGCCTGGACTTCACCATGCAGGAGGTGAGCGGGCCGAGGGCAGCGGGCCGGGCCCGGCCCCCGCAGAGGCCGGGCCTCACCAGCCTGCCCTGGTCTGCTGCAGCTCTCAGCACTGGTCCGCACGGCTGTGGAAGACAACACGCTCACCATCGAGCCCGTGGCTTCGCAGACGCCGCCCACGGTGAAGGTGGCCACCGTTGAATACGGCAGCACCAAGTAAGCTTAGCTCCCCTCACCCCTTCCTGCCTGTTGGGAAAGCCCCCACCCGGACTCAGCGAGGGGGTGGCCTGCCTGCGGGAGTTCTGGTGTGGCTCCTGGGGCGGGCAGGGTGTGGCACGCAGGCCGGGCTGGGGATGGGCACGGGCACCTGACAGAGAGGGACAGTGGCTGCCCTCACCCAGGCCAAGGAGGCATGGACCTCCAGGCTTTGCAGGGAGTCTCGGAGCTGGGGTCTCCCTCTTCCCGGCCTGAGGCATCCCGCTCCCATCCCCCTCCCACAGTGGGTTCCGGGCCCCGATGACACGTGAGTGCTGAGTTACCAGCTCTGCCTGCTGCTAGTAAATGACCGAACGGCCCTGGCATCGTGTCCTCCCTGCTACTCAGCTGGCACTGAGTGGGGCCAGAGCAGAACGCGTCGCCAGGGTTACGCAAGGGACGGAGACTGGGGAGCACTTCCCTCGGCAGCCCAGGGGTGGGCCCAGGGTGGGAGCCTCGATATAGAAGGGGACATTCGAGAAGGGGGTTTGAAGGATGAACAGCGGTTTGCCGAGCAGGGAAGGGCCTTTGAGGCAGAGGGAACAGAATGAGTACAGAGAGAAGCTAGGGTATTAGAGGAAACTCCTTGGAGTCGGTGGGTGGAGCTGTGAGGTGGGCAGGGAGACAGGTCTGAGGCCGCAGAGTGTGTTTGGAGCCATAGTGTAAAGGTTCGCAAATGAGATCTGGGCTTTAACCTGTTAGGCCGGCATTTCACAAATCACCAAAAGATGTGCCTGAAAAGAGGGTTCCCTGGTCCAACCAGAGAGTCATAGTGAACATGGAAGCAGCAAAGGCTCTGATAAGTCCTGCAGCCAAGGAGCCTATTTAACCTTCCTTTACTCAGGATTTTCCATAACTATTTTCCTGGGCAGTGAGTAAGCAGCAGGGAAAGATGGTGCACTAGATGTGGGGTTTTGGAGGAACCCTGGCCCCTTTGCACCCACAATAATGTGAAGAAGGCAGTGCAGGGCTGGTCGGAAGGAGCTGAGAGGAGCCAGGCAAAAGGCCCTGCTGGCATGACCTGTCCTGGGGTCTTGGTGACTAAGTGACAGAGAGAGTGGACTCCTGCTTAGTTGGGAGAAGGATGACCGCGTCTGACAGCTCCAGGGAAGTCGGAGAGGCGTTTTTAGGGGCTTCCGGGGGTGGAGCTTTGGTACACCTGGCATGAGGTTGACCGAGCTCTCCTGCCCAGTAGGGGCCAGGACAGGGGTTCTGGGGTGGGGTCTAGCTTGATGTAAAGGTCCATCCCAGGGACTTCTTGGCCTGGCCCTGGGCTCAGTGGGGGGTGGGGCCTGGGGAGAGGATGCCAGGCCCCACCCCATGTCTGTCTGCTGCCACTCCCACTGTGCCTTCTCCTGGCTGCTGCACCCTCCCTGCATGAGCTGGGTGGTGAGCTCCACCGGCCCCCATGGCCCCCTCTGCTTTCCAGCACATGTGCCCTCAGCGGGTTGGCCCGTGCCTGTCGCCACCGAATCCGGCTAGGGGACTCCGAGAGCCACTACTACATCTCACCATCCTCCCGGGCCAGGGTGAGTCATCCATTTGGAATGTCACTTGGCTGTTTAGGGGCCCCTGGGCTGGGACTCTGGGCCCCAGGCCTTGATCTTCAGAGCGGGCTCAGAGATGTGCAGACCTGACTCGGGCCACACAGCCAAGCCAGGTGTACTAATTTGCTGTTGCTGCATAACGAATGACCATACACTTAGTGGCTTCAGACACCCATTTATTCTCACCTTCCCGGGTCAGGAGTCCGCGCACAGCTTAGCCGGGTCCCCAGCTCAGGGTCTCCTGGATTGCAGTCAAGGTGTCCGTCGGCTGCATCCTTACTGGAGATTGGGGTCCTCTTCTGAGCATGTGGCTGTTGGCAGAATGCAGTTCCTTTGTGGCTGAAGGACTGAGGTACCCGTTCTCTGGCTAGCCAAAATGTCATGTGAGTGACACCCATCACCTCTGTTGTTCAATGTAGCCTAGTCGAGGGAGTGACGCTGGAATTCGGGTTACACTCCAGGCTCCTGACCCCAGCTCGGGCCCCTGCCCCAGGCTCTGGAGAGGGTTCTGCGGCATGTCTCTCACAGAGCCTGACAGGCAGCGTGGGTGCTGAGGGTCCTGTAGGACTCCCAGCTCTGCCCCCTCTTGCCATGTGACCCAGGCTGGACCAGGGGCTTCACCTAGCTGGGGCAAGGGCGGGGTGGTCCCCATTCTTCTCTCCCCTCATAAACAGTAAAGAGGATTGTCAGGAACAAAAGAGAACAGTGTTTGGAAAACTTGGAGCTTGGTGCAAAGGTGACAGAGGGGATAGGCCCCCTTTGAGGGAACATTCCCTCCCCTTGACCTACTGGGGCTCCGCTCTGCATGGGGACTCAATGGACAAATGGACGTCATAGGGCAGCAGATTGGTCAGCGGGGGCAGCTTGTCTGGTCCTGACAGCTTCCGAAGGGCATCAGAGCATGTCGTCCGGGTGAATCCCCCTCCCCAGGAGAGAGCTGGGCTCCCATTTACCCAAAGGGAGCCTGAGCCTTAGGAAGGAGAGGGGTGTGCCTGGGGCCACTCGGCAGACCCGGTCTCCCCATTCTGAATCAACAGAAGGATCCACGGCGGACATCCCCGTGCCTAACGGAGTTCTGTTTAGAACTTTGCGTGTCCGCTGTGCTGGGCAGACCTGGCACAGGAGTTGAAGAGGGTTGAAGCTTTAGGTTGTGGCCCCCTAGGACGTGGTCCCATCCTGAAGAGACCGAGGAGTGTGGAGTCCACAGGAGAAGAGTTCTGCCCCAAGCACAGCCGTGGGGCAAGAACCCCTGCTCCTGCCAGTCCCTGTTCACCAGCCTCCTGTGGGGCCCACAGGCCATGGGGCAACACCCCGGCCCTCTCCTGCCTGACCTCTGCCCCGTCCCGCCCTGCCTGCCGCAGCCTGGCCACGCTGGGCTAGTTCCCTGACTTGGCCACACTCTCTTCTTACCTCCCTGCCTTTGTCCAGGCCACCGACCCCCCTGCACCCGCTTTGTCCCCCTGGCAAGGGCTCCTGCGCCCACCCACCCGCCTGGCCACATTCTCCCCTCCCCAGTCTGTGGCCCCTCGCACTGGACACCCTTCCCCAGAGCACTGGGCATTCAGCAGGGGCTGCTGTGGACACAGCTGCCTTCCATCCGGTCTCGGGGTGGGTTTCCCTAGAAGCAGAGCCCACGAGAAATTCTGTGCAGGTCTCAGGAGCTAGCGAGGGCAGCAGACCTGGGCGGAGGGCGAGGGGAAGCAGTAGAGCAAAGGAGGGTGTGGCCTCCGCTGAGTCCGGCTGCAGCTCGGAGCGGGTTCCACCCTGAGGCATGCCCGTCAGAGGGGCACCTATGAACCGTTATTGGCCAACATTCCCAGCAGTGCCCTCTCCACAGTATGAAAGTCTTCATGGCAGGGCCCAGGTCTGAGCACAGGGCCTGGCACAGAGCAGGCCTCAGGCCAGGCTGGGGCTTCAGGCCTGGGGATCCAGGACAGCAGGTGAGCAGCTTCTGATCCCCTTGTCTTTCCTGGCACTACCAGGAGCACCTGCCTAAGGCCTGGCTGGCCCCGGGGCTGAGCGTAGATTCTAGGCAGGCTGCCTGGTCCCGTGTCCCCGCTCTGCCACTGTTTTCCCCACGTGTAAAATGGCAGTGATAAGCATGTCTGCCTCACTGGATGCGTGTGTTTGATTAAATGTTAGTTGCTGCTCTTGTTTTTATTAGAAATAGTAATAGTACTGCTGTTGTTGATTAAACAGCCCAGCCCTGTTCAATTCAGGAAGCATTCTCCGGTTTGGACGGGACAGGACATGGAGCTTCCTGCTCTGGTCTCTGATCTGCCTGGTTTTTGAGGGACCCCAAAAGTCTGGGGACTGGTGTGTCACACCCTCTCCCTTTCTTCCCACAGATCACAGCGGTGTGCAATTTCTTCACCTACATCCGCTACATCCAGCAGGGCCTGGTGCGGCAGGACGGTGAGCGCCCCCTGGTGGCTGTCAGGGGCGTGGCGCCCCAGGGGTGGGGCTGGCCAGCAGTGGCCCGCCCGATCAGCCAGAGGGTTTCTCTGTCCCTGTCTCAGGCCAGAACTCTGAGAGGGGAGATTGTGGGTTAGTAAAGGGCTGGTAAACCTCCTGGCGCTGAGATGAGCTGCAGAAGGAGCCTCCTGGGCCCCGCCTTACCAGGAAAGCTAGCCTGATGCCACCCCCACACCTAGGTCTGACTGCTTTCTCCTGCCCGGAAACCTCTCCCTGCCCCTGGGGCCTGCAGGGACAGGTCTCTGTTCCTGGCCCGGCATTTGAGGACATGCATGAGGGGCCAACCCTGGGAATCCCCTCTCCTCCAAGTGTGGCCTCCTTAGGGTCCCCTGAACACAGGCCTCCCACTGTGCCCTTGCCCAGCAGGTCCTCCTTGCCCGCTGTCCCCCTCCTCCCATTCTGCAAAGCCTAGCTTCCTGCTTCTCCAAACTCTGCTCCCGGATGATCTTCTCCCTAACCACGTTGGAGTCTGAGCCTCTCCTCCCCAGAGGTGGGAGTCAAGTCCCCTCTGGGAAGCCAAAGCCAGGCCAGGGGGTGTGCCCTGAGAGGCCACCTCCTCCAGGTGCATGCACTGACACTGTGCCCTGCTCACTGCTCAAGGGCACTGTGAGATGCCAGGGAGGTGAGGTTGGAAAGCATCTGTGAGTGTGGCAGTATGCCCACACATTTCTGTGTCGGGCTGTGGGAGTGACCGTCACCTCCTCCCCTGGTACAGTACAGGTCTTTCAAATGTGTTCAGCACTGAGGTTCAGCTCCTCGTTGAAGTCATCTGTCCTGGGGAACTGGGGAGCCCTAGAGTGCCTGCCAGCAGCCCTGCCCATAGCCAGGGGAGGGGCCGGGCCATGTGCCTAAGGTGGCCCTGAGCTGCCACCGAGCCATCCGTCCTCTCTCTGCCTACAGCAGAGCCGATGTTCTGGGAGATCATGAGGCTTCGGAAGGAGATGTCGCTGGCCAAGCTGGGTTTCTTCCCCCAAGAGGCCTAGTGCCTGGCCCGGGCCTGGAGGGGGCTCAGAGCTGGAGCCAACACCTGACCCAGGATAGACAGATGGACAAGAAGACAGGGTACTGGAGCCAGCCTGAGCCACAAGCTGAGCAGATGGACAAATGGCCAGGCCATGGAGGCAGCACTGAGCCGGTACCAAACATCCATCCCAGGACAGACAGGACCTCATGGGGTGACCCTTCTCTCTTCCCCAGTAATAATACAGCCACCAGGAGACTAGACCGAGGAGCCTGGAGCCATCCATACTCAGGGCTCAGCCTTTGGGAGGGGACACCTGGGTGGCAGCGCCCTTGGCCCAGCCCGGGAGCTGCTGCCTGCAGGTGCCTGCTGCTGCCATTCCCTGGGAAAGCAACCATGTTGGGTGCCGCACCTCCCGGTATCCCCCACCCCAAGTCCCAAGCCCCGGGCCATGAGTACCTCCTTGTGGCCATCCCTCGCCCCATTCCTAGGTGGCCTCCCCTCTGGACTGTCCCAGCGGGCCTGCCATCCTAAGTGCCCGCGGGCAGTGGTGCTAGGAAGGGCGGGCAGGAACTCCCACGCCCACTGGTACCTGCTTGAGAACTGCCCCAGAGTTCCTGCGATGGATCAAGGCCCCTCCCCCTCGACTGTCCCCTTCCCTGTCTGAGCCCTGTGCCCCGGGAGCCAGGCCCCCACCACCGCTGGCCAAACTGGGGCACTTTTCTTCCAACGTACAACACAGACAGCGCCTCAGGACGCCGTGCCTGTTTTCAGCTGTGGGTGGCCGTTCAGAGAGCGAGGACCGAGGTCACCAAGCCCTGCATGCAGGACTGGGGTGGGACGGGCAGGACCCGGCCCCTCTCCACCCCTCACAGCCCACTCGGGACCAGGGTACAACCTGGACACATCCCTCACCACGTCCAATTTCCTCCTCCAAATGGAATGTAACGCCATCTCTATTTAATAAAGGAAGCTTTTGTTGTAGAGGCTGGGCAGCCACGCGCCTTCACTCCTGTGCCCGGGGCTCGGGCCAAGGCTGGGGCATCTGAAGGAATGAAACCAAATCCTTCCCCCCACCCTCGTGCTGAGGATTAAACCCAGTCCTGAGGGGGTTGCTGTAGAGAGGACTCTCGAGTCCTCCCGGGTGTTCCATGGGGCGGTGGGTTGTTGGGGGATGAGTTGGGGACTGGCTGCTGTCGGGGAGAATGGCCGGCTCTGCCGCTGCCTCCACAGGGCCTTGGGCAGATCCCCCTCCAGTCTCCCTGCCTCCATCTAACGGAAGCCTGGAGCTCAGTCAAAGCATCCAGGGGGGCTGGCGCTCATGGGACAGTGGCAGGATTGATTGATGATGTCTGCCAGCAGCACAGGCAGGGACTGTGGCAGCAATGGGGGGACAAAGGAGGATGGAGGTCTGGGCCCTGCTATTGCCCGTCCCGGCCCCCAGTGCCCGTGCCCCTGGCCCAGTCACACCCAGGGCCAAGCAAACACCAGGGAACATTTTAGAGGCCTAGCAGAGGTTCCCACAATCCAGACTGCTCTGCCTGCCCCTGTGATAGGTGACACTTCTGGTGGATGTCACTTCCGTTGTCAGGCTCACATGGGGCTATCACGAGCAAACAGTAGCTGAGATACCCAGAGGTGTGTGTGAGGGATGGGGACACACACGTTCTGGCCCCGTCGTCTCCAGACAATCGTCATTTCTGAGCACTTATCAAGCCCCCTGCCCGCTTCCAACCCCTTTAGGTGAACAAATTCATTTCATCCTCACAACGACCCGAAGAGGTACTATTTCCCATTTTGCAGAGGAGTCGACAGAGGCCCTGAGAGGTCACGCAGAGGAAATGGTGTCCCCGCGACAGGAAGGAGTGAGCCCAGCTCCAGAGCCCACAGTATTAACCAGCAGCCTAGACCCCTTTTACTGAACACCTGCCGTGTGCCTGGTACCTGATCAGGCGCATCCCTGTGTTTTGGAGATGGAGGGGCTGCGGCTCAGGCAGGGCAGAGTCAGGCTTGAATCTAGGTTTGTTTCCCACGTTTACGCTGTGGCAGCTGCCCCTACCCACGTTCTCCCGGCTTGGGGTATGGTGGGGGCTCTGAAGGAGCTTAGGGCTCTGGCTCTTGGACTTGGGAGGGGACAGTGAGCTGACGTCAGCCCCACAGTTGTTCCTCTTAAGTAAATTTTCTATATAACCCACTTGGCCTTGGCACCCGTGGCTACATCTTTTTTTTTTTAAGAAGAGAAAGTTTATTTCAAACAGGTTTGGTGGTACCTGTGTTACAGCAAAACCTGGTTATAGCAGATTCATTTCAAATCAGCAGTGACATAGAAATTAGATATTATTTGGGAACGATAAATTTCCGATAGATTCAATCCAATACTTTTTACATTTATCGTCGACCCTATTTCAGTACTAGAGATGACATTTGCATCATCAAAAAATGAGTCTAGCCCTGGCCAGTTTGGCTCAGCGGTTAGAGCGTCGGCCTGCGGTCCGGAGAGACCCGGGTTCGGTTCCCGCTAAGGGCACGTACTTCGGTTGCAGTTTGTCCCCGGCTCTGGTTGGTCGTGCGGGTGGCAGCCACTCGATGTGTCCCTTCACGTCGATGTTTCTCTCTCTCTCTCCTTCCTCTCTCTCCCTCCCACTCTATCTGTACAAAAAATGGAAAAATATCCTCGGGTGAGGATAAAAAAAAAACAAAAAAAAAAAAAAATGAGTCTAGTATCCTCAGGCGAAGAGAAGGTGAAATTCACTCTCTAGCGCTGCTCTGAAAATATATCACTAAGTTGGTTAGCGTCGACCAGCCACACAGCCTTACCCGCCACTTTCACAATCTGCCGAGCCTGCCCTGATTGGATCCTGCCCGGGCTGTGGACCCGAGCAGTCGCTCCTCTCTGGGCCTCAGTTTCCTCATCTGTGAGTTGGGAAGATTGGACAAAATGACCTTTGCAGCCCCCTCCCTCTTTACTCATTTATTTTCTTTCCTTTCCTTTTCTCCCTTCCTCCCTTCCTTCTTTCTTTTTTTTGTTAATCTTCACCTGAGGATATTTTTCCATTGACTTTTAGATAGAGTGCAAGGGAAGGAGAGAGAGAGAGAAACATTGATGTGTGAGAGACAACGACTGTCTCCTGTATGACCCTGACTTGGGCGGGGGATCGAACCTACAACCCAAGTACATGCCCTTGACCATGCCCTTGACCAGGAACCAAATCTGCAACCCTTCAGTCTGCAGGCCGACGCTCTAACAACGGAGCCAAACTGGCCAGGGCTCTCGTTTATTTTATTGTGGTAAAAAACACATCCCGTTTACCATCTTTACCATTTTTAAATGTACAGGTCAGTTGTGTTAAGTATATTCACACTGTCACGAAACTGATCCCCAGCACTGTGTCGTCCTGCCCATCTGAAGCTCTGTGCCCACTAAACGCCCCGCCCCTTGCCGCTGGCAGCCACTAGTCTACTCTTTGTTTCTATGAAGCTGTAGATGCTTTAAGTGGAATCATGCAGCATTTGTCTTTTTGTGACTGGCTTATTTTACTTCCAGACTCATTCATGTTATAGGACAGGATTTCTTTCCTTTTAAAGGCTGAATAACATTCCATTGTGTGTATACATGACGTTTTCTCGTCCATCAGTGGACACTCAGGTTGTTCCCACCCCTGGGCTCTCGTGGATGATGTTGCTTAAACACAGAGTGCAGGTACCTGAGACTCTGCTTTCAATGCCTTTGGGTATTTCACCAGAGGTGGAATTGCTAGGTCATATGGTAGTTCTAGTTTTAATTTTTTGAGGATCCTCCATACTATCTTCCATAGTGACAGCACCAATTTGCAATCCCACCAGCCGTGTGCAAGGGTTCCAATTTCTCCACATCTGTGCCAGCACTTACTTCCTTGGTGTCTTTTGATAATGGCCGTGCTCATGGTTGGGAGGTGATATCGCACTGCGGTTCTGATTCGCATTTCAGTGACGATGAAGGATGTTGAGCATCTTTTCATGTGCTTGTTGGCCATCTGTGTGGCCTCTTTTTACTAAGGGGCTCTGCTGTGCATCATAGTGATGCCTTCAAGGAGAGTCTTTGTGGCTGGTAAGGGCCACAGGTCTTGAATAATTCTGTGGGCCCTGCCTCTCCAGACCTCTCCCCTCCACAGAAGAGCCGTGTCCAGGGACTAACAATCAAGCTGGCAGTGTGGTGAGCTTTAACTCAAAGCCAAATCCTACAGCTCAGACGAGAGTCTGCTTTGTGTGTCTGCAGGACAAGTGTCTGGGCTTTGGGACTGCTCTCTCTGGGAGGCCCAGCGCCTTCACATCAATTTGCCTGACTGGGCCACTGCTGTGCCCGTGAGGCTTGCCCAGGCCCGCTGGCCTGCACCAGCATCATTTGGCTCCAGGACAGTGGCTGGCAGCTCCACAGGGGTGGGGATTTCAGTGTGTCCAACAACAGGCCTGTGTGGCAGCTTGTGGTGGGGAGAAGCCCAGCAGGGGCTAGGACAAGGGCTGTATTTGAGGGCCCCTCCCAAAGCTGCCCAGACCCTCCCTTACCTTTTGGCTAGTTCCACCACCTCCTCCCTGAACCCAACACTGGCAGTAGCCCGGTGGCAGCTCAGGAATGTCAAGTGGTGCCTCTCCCTTTCCGAGTGGTCAGAAGGGCTTGGTTGCCCTGACGGGTTTGGGGACGGTGAAGTCCTCAGTTCCCCTGACTCTAGGAGAGTTGCAAGATCCACTGGGTTGTAGCCCAGAGAGGTGAAGCAACCTATTGAAGGCCCAAGGCCTGCAGAGAAATCACGTGGGACGCGGTGGGGAGGAGACACAATCGGGCTTTATGGGATCACACTTCGGGTGGCTCTTCTGGCCGGGATGACGTGGCCAGAGGGTGATGGCACCGAGCCCTGTCCTTGTTTAACCTCCTGAGGGGCCCTGTGCAGGCCTTCATCTTCCTTACCTCTCCAGGTGCTGCTGGGTAGGTGGAGGACCTCACTCACCCCAACCCCCAGCTGCCTCACACATGAGCAGAGAGCAGGCTGGGTTCAGAGAGGGCGTCGGGTCGGCATCCTACCATGGAGGGCTGCTGAAGATGGCGTGAGGGCCAGCAATGAACGTAGGGGCGCTTCAAAATCATGCTTCCATTTCCTTTGCATGTATACCCAGAAGTGGGATTGCTAGACCCTATGGTGGTTCAATTTTTGGGGGGGGAGGGTCAATTTTTAATTTTTGAGGAATCACCATGCTGTTTTCCATAGCAGCTGCACCGATTGACATTCCCACCAACAGTGCACAAGGGTTCCCTTTTCTCCACATCCTCGCCAATGTCTTTTTTTAAACCTCCCCTGAGGATATTTTTCTCTTTATCTTCAGATAGAATGAGAGGGACACCTGGAATGGTTGCCTCCCACATGACCCCGACCAGAGCCAGAGATGAACTGCAACCGAGGTATGTACATGCCCTTGACAGTAACTGAACCTGCGACTCTTCAGGTCACAGGTCGATGCTCCAACCACTGAACAACTGGCCAGGGCTCACGTGTCTTTTTTTTTTCTTTATTGATTTTAGAGAGAGAGGAAGTGAGAGGGAGAGACAGAAACATCTATGAGAGAGAACATCGATTGGCCACCTCCTGCATGCCCCCCTCTGGGGATCGGGCCTACAACCTGGGCATGTGTCCTGACCAGGAATCAAACTGACGACCTCTTGGTGCATGGGTCGACACCCAACCTCTGAGCCACACCGGCTGGACTCTCTTGTCTTTATTATGAAGCCATTCTAACAGGTGTGAGGTGATATCTCACTGTGGTTTTGATTTGCATTTCCCTGATGTTGAGCACCTTTTCATGTACCTTTTCGCCATTTGTATGTCCTCTTTGGAGGATGTCTATTTAGTTCCTGTGCCCATTTTAAAATCAGATTGTTTGCTTTTTTGCTATTACATAAGTTCTTTACATATTTTGGGTATTTACCTCTTATCAGATATGTTATTTGCAAATATTTTCCCCCACTCAATAGCTTACCTTTTCATTTTGTTGATTCTTGAGCTGTACGGAAGCTGTTTAGTATAAGGTAGTCCCACTCATAAATTGTTGCTTGTGTTTTTGGTGTTACTGCATATCCACAAAGCTGTTGGCAGGAACTACGTCAAGGAGCTTTGCCCGCTTGTTTTCTTGAAGGAGTTTTATGGTATCAGGTCTTATGTTTAGGACTTTAGTCCCTGCCCCCTTTTTGGGGGGCATAAGTGTATGTATTTTGCCAGGGCGAAGTCATACTTGTGAATGAGCTCATGCAGCAAACACCTTGCACTGGCATCACGGAGAGGCACTGGCCGTGGACGGGGAGGGGGCCTGACTCCTCCTCCTGCTGCTTGCTGATCCGTATCTCCCGGAAGGAGAGGGCTGCCAGCATGGACTCCACCATCCTGGAGTTTTTTGTTTATATTATTCCATTTTTCATTCATCCCTTCCCCTTTGGCAACCATCAGCTCATATCTCTATATTTCAGTGCAGGAGGTTTATTTCCTCCAAGAAGCTGCTTCCTCCATCCTTGTGCCCATGTGTGAACATGTTGGGAACTGGGAGATCTGCAGTGACCTCCAGCCTCAGCTGCCAGCCACACTCCTCTACTCCCCACTACACACACACCACACACACACACACACACACACACCACACACACATACACACGGGTTTGAAGACACCACAGTGGAAAGGGCTCAGGCAGCCTCACTGGTGATGACCTCACAGCTTCACTGGTTGTACTGGCAACCAAAACGGGTGCTCCCGTACCAAGGAGAACCCAGAGGTCTTCCTCAGCCCTTCTGGGCCCTGGTCTGCCTACCCCACAAATGTTAGCTACAATGATATCCTACAAATTATTAGACCAAGATAAAATATTAGTGTATCAAAGAAATATACAGTTGACCTTTGAACAATAGGGACTAGGGGTGCCAATGCCCTGCAGTAAAAAATCTATATATAGCCCTGGCTGGGCAGCTCAGTTGGTTAGAACGTCATCCAGGGTTAGGCCAGGGTTAGGTGTTCGATCCCCAGTCAGGCACATACAGGGATCAACCAATGAATGCATAAATGAGTGGAACAACAAACCAATGTTTTTCTCTCTCTCCCTTCCTCTCTCTCTAAAATCAATAAGAAAAAAAAAATTTAATCAACATATAACTCTGTAACAAAAAAACCAATCAATAAAAATAAGTTTAAAAAAATAACTTCCAAATCCCTCAAAACTTTAGGTGCTCACTGGTACCCTTGGGGGATTGGTTCCAGGACCTCCACAGATACCAAAATCCGATGTTCAAGTCCCGTCTATAAAATGGTGTAGAACAATGCATACAGTTGGCCCTCCACACCCAGGGATTCCCAACCTGAGATGGAAAATACTGTTTTCCGTTTGCAGTGGGTTGAATCTGCAGATGAGAAACCCAGAAATATGGAGGGCCCACAGTACCTTTACTGGAAAAAATCCTCCCACGAAGTCCAGACCCCTCTTGCTCAAGGGTCAAGGTGTATTCCTGAAGCAGCACAGCAGCACCTGGGAACTTGTAAGAACTGCTCGGTGGCCCTCCAGCCTTGACATTAGCAAGCGCTCTGGTAATTCCAAAGCGCAAGCAAGTTTGATACCACTGCCCTGAGACATAACTTAGCCTGATTTCAGGGGCTTTGGGTGTGAACCCTTAACTTTTAGGAACAGTGATCTCTATCTCAGAGAAATACAAAGTAAGTCATTTGGAGAAAACCTACACTCCCAAAAGAACTTGAGTTTGTTTAAGTAAAAAATGGGGTCGGGGGCGTGTACCAAACAAGCCACCCAGCGGAGCCCCAGGTGAAGGGCAGCGCCCCACTATCCCTTTGACGCCGGTGGCCCACTCCTCGACACCCTCAACCTACAGTCACAGCAGCAGGAAGACCCCCGGCCGGCAGAGACGCCCCGCAGGGCGGGGGCCAGTCCCTCCACCCGAGGGCGGCCTCTTCGCGCAGACGTTGGGGGTCCATTGTTTGAACGCGGCTTCCGGTCACCCCAGGTGGTGTCCTCACCTCTGTGCGCTCAGGGTTTAATGTCCCAGGACGCGTGGCAGGAAGCCTGTCACCCGCGGGCCGTTGTCGCAGGCCCGCCGGCGCGGACGAGGGCCCCCAGGGCGCGGCGGACTCCGGCCGTGGGTGTAGCCGCCGCCCCGCCGAGCCCGGTACCCACGAGCGGACACGGCCGGGGAGGGCCGGGCGTGGTGGCCGCGGGCCGGGGGTGGGGCAGGCGCGCCGGCCGGTCCACCCCGGCGGCCAATGGGGGCCGGGGCGCTGCGCTGGGATTGGCGCGGGCGGCGGCGGGCGAGCCGCGGTGGGTTATAAGGGGGGAAGCGGGGCGCGGAGGGCGAGCCGGGCGGCGCACGCTCGGAGGTGGCTGCGGCGGCGGGGCGGAGCCGCGCGGCAGCGGCAGCGGCGGACGGCGCCCCGGGAAGGCCCCCGCGCTCCCCTCGGTGTCTCGCAGGAACCCCGGGGAGGTCCTCGTGCCCGAGGACTTCTGCGCGAGCCATGGGCGGCGTCGGGGAGCCCGGCGGGGGACCGGGGCCGCGCGAGGGCCCCGCGCAGCTGGGGGCGCCGCTGCCCGCCTTTCGCTGGGAACAGATCCGCCCGCACAACCTGCCGGGCGACAAGTGGCTGGTCATCGAGCGCCGCGTCTACGACATCAGCCGCTGGGCGCAGCGGCACCCGGGAGGCAGCCGCCTCATCGGCCACCACGGCGCTGAGGACGCCACGGTAAGGAAACCGCCGGCGGTGGGGTGGAGCCTGATCCCGGGCATTGTGCCCCGCTTTGCCTGCGGGGGCCTCGGCTTCCTGCCCCGGCTGACCTTTGACCTCCTGGCCGCGGACCCTGAGTTGGGAGAGATGAGCAAGGGCCTGATGTGGGGTAAGGGGGCCTCGTCCCCGCACAGAGCACCGCACATTGGGCCATGGACGGGGCTGGGCTGGACGAAGGGGCTCTCAGAGGTGGGTGTGTCGTGGCCCAAAGAGCCCGCCCTAGAAGAGGGCCCTCCTGCTGCTCTGAGGTTCCTCCTTTCAGTTCTGGGTTCCCGCAGACCAGGTTACTCACGCCGGGTGCCAGGGGTAGGGCTGAGGCCCCAGGGACAAGGATGTGCCATCAGAGGCCGGGGGCTGGGCAGCAAATGTTAGGCTGGGCCCAGAGGTATGTGGCTTGCCCAAGAGCTGCTGCAAATGTCAGTGGGAGTCAGTGACTCACCTCTCCTGGGCTGGCAGCTGCCTGTGGGAGAACTTTGCCAGCCAGGCTGGGTGGGCCTCCTTGGGAAGCACAGTCACCCCAGGAACAGGCTGGCTCCTGGGGACCCCAGCTTCCTTTCCCAGCCCTTATCTAGACATGCCTTGGCCAAGGAGGGGTATGGCCTGGTTCAGGGAGAGCATCTGGCTGGAGCCCAGTGGCCGAGCAGCCAACTGGGACTCCTCATCAACCCCATTCCGGAAGTCTCCATGGGAGTGGGAGGGGGATAGGAGTTGGGACCATGATGTTCTGTTCTTGACCTTCCAAAATGCTAGGTGGGCCACACTGGATACTTGGAAGGTCTTCACGACTCTAGGGGATGAATTGCTAACCGTCAAAACTTTAGGCAGCGAAAGAGATTGTGTCCTAACCCAAAAAGATCAGTGTCCCTGTTGCCAGGTCACCTGCTCTCTGCTCACCGCCTTCTGCCCCGGGTTGAGCAGTTTTCGCAGAACTCTTTCAGAGCGTTGATTTTCAACCTTTCTCATCTCACGGCAGTACACACACACTAGTTACTAGAATTCTGTGACACACCAAAAAAGATATGTTTTGCCCATTTCACACATAAAAAGAGGTATAGCCCTGGCTGGTTTGGCTCAGTGGTTAGAGTGTTGGTCCAGAGAGACCTGGGTTCGTTCCCGCTAAGGGCACGTACCTCGGTTGCAGTTTGTCCCTGGCCCTGGTTGGTCGTGCGGGTGGCAGCCACTCGATGTGTCCCTTTCATGTCGATGCTTCTCTCTCTCTCTCTCTCTGTTTCTCTCTCTCCCTCCCACTCTATCTGAACAAAAAATGGAAAAATGTCCTCGGGTGAGGATAAAAAAAAAAAAGAGGTATAATTTTGATTCATTCACACTGGGCGGCTGTTGTCACTTTTTTATTTGACAGTCTAAGGGCAAAGAGGTCGGTGCCCCTGCCTAAATAGTCAGGTATTGCATGTTTTAAAAATTCTTGCAGCACACTGGTTGAAAATGGCTGTTTTAGAGGAAAGAGGTTTTTCCTCCCCACTTCTGCCTTAGGAAGCTGAGGGGTTAGGGGCAGAAGCCTCCTGAAACTCTAGAAACTGACAGAAAGCCTTGTCTTTAGGTGTGAGAGGCCGGGTGGTGGCCACGGAGGTGCAGCTAACCATGGCCAATAAGTGTGACCACGTACAGGCTTGTTTGTGTGCAAACACTGCATGTGTCTGTGTGTGGTTATTCATGTGTGCACTTCTGTCAGGATATGGGGGTACAAGGCACCGCAGCCTCTCCCCCGCAGCCTGGCTGAGCCCTGGCCACCCCTCAAGGATCCGATGGTTGCCAGCTCTGTCCTTTTTCAGCCTCTGATCTGTAGGACAGGGTGGAGGCAGGAGAGAAGAAGACAATGAAGAGCACTTATCAACTGCATTTTCCTCCTTGCTGTCCTGGGAACCCTGCCATGTGGGAACCCCATCATTCAGTTAGCTCTTGACTCTGAGACCTCCATCTGACGGTTTTCTTATTGACTCATGACCACTGAAGTCTGTTTCTTGATTCCAAAAAAACAATCTGTTCCCTGAGGCTGGGTCATGGCTCCACCATTGGAGGCCCTAAGGGATCCTGAACCAGGCCTGTCATTCCTCTGAACCTCAGTTTCCTTATCGGTAAAATGGGAAGAGCTGGGCCAGACAACAAGCCAGCTGAGGGTGGGACTGTACCTTCTCAGCTCTGTGGCTGCAGGGCTGCCATGTCATTGTTCCTGGTCAGTCTTATGTTGCTGACTGATGGGTGTGGGTATGCCCTGCAAACTGTACAGTGTATGGGGACAGCCGTGGCATAGCCACCCCTTTGCTGGGTGACCTCGTCTGGTTCTGCCTATGTCTGTGACAGGGAAGAGTCACGTTAAACCATCTCTTAGCTTCCTCAAAGCCCCAAACACTTGGCTGGAGTTTCCAGAAACACCTGGCCTGTTCAAGGCAAGGGTTTATGAGGGGGCTGAGGTTGGGTGACCGCCCGTCTTTGTCCATTATGGGCCCACCAGGCAGACCCGGGACTGGACCAGCCCAGTGCCCTGTGTGGTCAAGTCCAGACCCCAGGCACTCCGTCTCAGGTTCTGGAGCACAGGTGGGGGTGGGGTAGCTGTCTTGCCAGGGCAGTGCTCCCTGGCCGTCCACCAGCTGTTCTCATGTCCAGGCAACAGAAGCCTTCCTGCCAGGAAATTCCCAGAGTTCCTGTGCCATTAAGTCAGCCCGTGGCCATCCTGGGACACAAAGCGGGCACCCTAGGGAAAATGCTCTGGGCCCCGGGCCAGGTTTGTCTAAGAGTCATAGGCAGTGTGAGGCAAGTGGAGCCAACGGGGGAGAGGCAAGGCCTGGCTATTGCAAAAGAGGTTGTGTCCTGTCCCAGGAACTCACAATACTCCACGGTCAGAAGTGTCCCAGGGCCTGGCGCCGAGCACCCGCTGTGGCTCTGGAGTAAGATATACAGACACTCTCTCTGTCAAGCCTCAGCACACCTCTGTGAGGCAGGTACTGTCATCATTCCCACTTTACAGGTGAGGGAACGGGCGCAGAGAGGCAGAGGGACTTGACATTAAAAGATAGGTCTGGGGTTTGAACCCACAGCCCATGCTCTTCACCACATGCTACGCTGCAACTTAGCTGTTTATCCCGTTCATTCATTCTTCAAGTGTTGAATTATACCCATCAGTAGATCACAGTGAGCATATCCTAAGGGCCAGAGTCTGTCTCACCTCTGAAGATGCAGCTGTGAGTGCACCTCTGAAGGAGGGAGTCCCTTGGCAGGCGGACCAGCCAGAGCACAGGACCTGGGGTGGGACCTGCTCCGTGCGTTCAAGGAACATCCAGGCCATCTGCATGGCTGGAGTCGCAGTGGGGAGAGGGACAGGTGGGTAGGTCCAGGGGACCAGGGGCTGCTCCAGCTGGGCTTCTGTGTTCTTGGAAGCAGGACTTTGGTTTTATTCTAAGGGGCCCTTGCAGGGCACAGCAGGGGAGCCAGAGGAATCTGATACATATTTTATTTATTTTTTTTATCCTCATCCGAGGACATTTTTGCATTTATCTTCAGATAGAGTGGGAGGGAAGAGAGAGAGAGAAACATGGATGTGAGAGAGACACATCGACTGGTCACCACCCACACGACCCCAACTGGGGCCGGGGACAAAGTGCAACCAAGGTACGTGCCCTTAGCGGGATCCGAACCCAGGACTCTGGTCCGTGGGCCGATGCTCTAACTGCTGAGCCAAATTGGCCAGGGCTGATAGAGATTTTAAATGATCCCGAACGGGGAGGGGGCGGCAGCGCCTCCCAGGAGAAGTGCAGGGGCTAAGGGAAGAGGTGATGCATCCCAAAGGGCAGACGTGGCCAGGCCGAGGGCAAGAGGTGCTGCGGGTGCAGGACGCCAGGGGAGCCACCGGGATGTAGCTCTTTGTGGCCTGCAGACAACAACCTTCTGGGGCAAGGACGAATGTTAGCCCATTTTGCAGATGACGAGACCTAGGCTGAATGTGGGTGATGTAAGAAGACCTTCTGGGGGCCCTTGACCAGCAGGGCCTTCCTCCTTGGGCTTGGAGGATGGGGTGTGTCTGGGTGGAAGTTGGGGAGAGGCAGGACAGATCCTGAGGCTCTGGAGAGAGGGTGGGGTGCAGAGGGGACTGGCCATGGACTCGGAGGACCTGGCCCCAGAGCTCACACTCTGCTTCCATCCCCCACACTGGGTGCCCTGCAAGGCCTGCTGCACCATGTGTGACCTCTCCGGGCGGGGGCCGGATTGCCTGGCACTGGGCAGGAACACAGTGTGCAGAGGTGGGGTGCTGGCAGCCCTCCTTGTTTCTTCCCAAGGGTCCCAGCTGCCATGGGCTTCTCATGGGACAGCTGAGAGGGGCCAGAGCCTAGTGGTGGAGAGAGGACCAAGAGCCAGAGAGCCTGGCCGCTGTGGGGCCGCCGCTGGGTCAGTGACACCTGTGAGGCCAAGGGTGCTGGGTCGAGGAGGCCCTGACATGTGTGCCAGCTTGTCACCAGGGACACCAGCAGTGCTGGGGGGACGGGCGGCTTCTGGGGGCACCTGTCCTTGAGCCGGGCTCTCTGCATGGGCGGGAGTTGGATATGCCAAGTTCCCTTCAGCTTCTTGTGCCTCGGTCTCCGCATCTGCGAAATGGGGACGCTGGTAGTGCTCGTGTGTTGGTCATCTGTGAGGAGTGCCAGGGAGAGGGCGGGGAGGAGCGTCTGAGTGCCAGGCAGGAGTTCCTGCCCTGATTTCCTCCTGGGAGGGGAGGGAGGAGAGGATTCCTGCGGTGTCCCTGGAGGTATGTCCCCGCACCCCCATCTTCACAGCCCACTGCCACCTCCTCCGCAAAGGCTCGAGGAGCAGACCCAGACTTCCCCAGCAGCCCTGCTGCGCTCCCTTTCTGATCTGGAACGTTCCAGAATCTTTGGAGAGTGGCCAGAAATGTTCTCCTGCCCCCACTGTATCTCTGGAGCGGAGGGATGAGTCCTCTCATTCCTCAGCCGGAAGTTGGCTGGGACTTGACCATGCAGGGTACACGGGCCCACCCTCTAGGGCACTGAGTCGAGTGGATTGGAGGAGGCAGGCCAGGCTGGCGGGGCTCAGGTCAGCTGGCTGTGGCATGCTCGCTGGACGCCGGGCCCCTTCTAAGAGCTCCACCTGCACTGACTTATCCCCCACAGGCCCACAGGAGGGACATTTGTGGTTCCTGACTTACTGGCGAGAAAATACAGAATGGAGGGGGGTGATCCTTGAGGCTCCATGGCTCAGCTCATAAGTGGCGGCTCAAATTCCAGCCCAGGCAGGCTGGCTCCAGCACCACCCCCCCTGCCACCCCTTAACCAGCTGCTGCTTGGAGCTCAGGGCTGGGGGCAGGGCAGGAGCCACTCCCAGGTTTCCAGGGACCTCAGCAGGACTGGGTGGTGGCTCTCCTGGGAGGCGTGGGCATCACAGAAGGCGGCCCTGCGTTTCGACCCCAGCTCTGCCCCTGCAGGAGCTGACCTGGGGTTCCCACCACACCGAGCCTCTGTACCCCCGTCAGTAAGACACACCCCTGCCTGGTGGGCTGTGGAGGGTTGGCTCCTGTCCACCTACACCCACCCTCCAGCCCTGCTCCGAGGACACCGCTGCGAGCAGAGCCCGTCTCTGCCAGCAGTCATGTTTAGGGGCACAATTTTTATTCCAGCAGCTACTCCCAATTTTGTTCCAAGTGGTCTTGAGTGCCACCTTCAACGTGTTATATGGGGGAGGGTCACGGGGTTCGCATGCACGTCCCTGGAAGGGGGTGGGTGACAGTCCCTGAAACTTAGTCATTGTGGCCAGGAAATTCCAGGACCACCCTCCTGTTCCCCACAGCCCAGTCTCAGAGCAGCCAGGGAGCACCCCCCAACACCCCCCAACCTAGGAGGTCCCCTTCCTCCCCTCTGGCCCAGGAGTGGCCACTCCGGGGCTACTGCCAAATGGCCACAGAACACTTACACATTCAGACTGGGTTCTGGTCCAACCTCCATCAAATGGAGCTGCGTAAGTGGCTTAATCTCTCGGAGTCTTTTGCCAGGCCCCTGGGTCCTTTAGCAGAGGGCCGGAGAGGACTAGGTCACATGGCCTCAGCCAGTGTTCCAGAAACAGCTGTTTGCTGGGGCATCAGGATTTGGTCTGAGGCCAGGGACCCACCCACCTTGCTGGTGCCAAGAGCATGGCTGCACAGGTCAGAGGGCCCCTCCCAGCCCGAGCCCTGGCTAGGGGCCCCGAGCAGTCACAGCTCCCTTGTTACTCCAAGGGACAGACCTGGCTGCCGGTCCCTGGGCTGGTGGCCCTGACCTCTCCCTCAGTGCATCCCCAGGTCTGGCCCAGGTGAGTCAAGACCAAGGGGAAGGAGTCAGGGAAGCCCACCTGCTCCTCAAGCGCCTTGGCGCAGGGACCTGGCCCTGGAGCACCTAGGAGTCAGCTGGGCCCTGGGGTGGCCCCGGAACAGACACAGGATGGGAGAGAGAAAGGGCCGGAAGGCAAGAAGTCCTGAGGTCGCAGCCACAGCGCGCGTGTTCTGCTGTGTGTGCGCGTGGCCCGTGCACACGAGGGCGTGTCTGGCTGCACGCTCCCGTGGGCTCCGACTGCGCGTGGCCGTGGGTGTGGAGGCACAGGGTGGACCCCAAGCCCTTGACTGATGGCCCCTGTGTGTGCGGGCTCTGTGCTACCGGGGCGTTCGAGGAGATGAATCAGCCAGCGCTCCTGTAGCCTTAGGAAGGAAGGGAATTCGCCTGGTCGGTTTGGCTCAGCGGTTGGAGCGTCGACCTGCAGTCCAGAGAGACCCGGGTTCGGTTCCCACTAAGGGCACGTACCTCAGTTGCAGTCTGTCCCCAGCCCTGGTTGGGGTTGTGCGGGAGGCAGCCGCTTGATGTGTCCCTTTCACATCAATGTTTCTCTCTCTCTCTTCCTCTCTCTCCTGCTTTATCTGAACAAAAATGGAAAAATGTCCTCGGGTGAGGATAACAAAAAAAAGGAAATTCTGACATGAGCTACCACACATGAACCATGAAGACGTCAGGCTAAGTGACAAGTCTGTCACAGAAATACAAATACTGTGTAGTTTCTGTTCTGTCAGGCCCCTAGAATAGCCTCATTCACAGGGACAGAAAGCAGAACTGGGTGCCGTGGGCTGGGGGAGGGGAGGAGAGGGGTGTTGGTGTGTAATGGGGACAGCGTTTAGTTTGGGGAGATGGGTGGCTGTGGTGGTTGATAGCAATGTGACCTCACGTAGTGCCCTGGAACTGTACCATTAAAACATGGTTAAGATGCTAAATTCTGTGTATGTTTCACTTAAAAACATGAAGCCCTGGCCCTGTGCCGCGGTTGAGCGTGGTCAGGGGCACTGAAGGGCGGTGAGCTCCATCCCCGGTCGGGGCGTGTGGGAGGCAGCAGACAGATGTTTTTCTCTCTCTCTCCTCTCCCTTCCTCTCGCTCTCAAATCAGTAAAATCATATCTTTGAAAAAATAAGAAAAAAAAAAACAAAAACCTTAGCAGTCCAGAGCCAGAATGGCCCTGGAGTCTTGTCCCTGAGACTTGCCCCCGGGTGTGTCTGGTCCCAGGCAAAACAGACGCACTCGAGGTCACAATGAGTGGGGTCAGCGGAGCCCCCAAAGCAGCCTTCCCTCCTAGCTCCCTGCCAGTGCTGGCCGCTTCCTGGGGTGCCAGCCTCCCCTCCATCAGTGTTCTTCCCAGAGAGGGGGTCTGCCCCGCTTCCCTTGCCGAGGGCCTAGGTTATTCCAGAAACCTCTCGCTGCCCCCAGTCTCAGGCTGCCCTGGGCCAGTAAGGGAGCAGTGTGGCCTAAGCGGGGCCTGGCGATGCCCCCCAGGACTGTGGACACCTGGCAGTCAGTGCCGGCCCAGCTGTCACCTGTTTGAACCCTCACCAGAGGGCAGGCTCATCAGTGACAACACAGTGGAGACCTGCTGGTCAGTCCACCTTCATCAGAGCGACTTCCCTTAGCTGCCCCGGCCCTGGGGGCACCACGCTGTCACTCTCCTGCTGGGGGGCTGTGGCCGGCTCCTTCGGGGACAGCCTCTGAGAGCCCGAGGATGGAAATCAACCAGAGGACTGAACAGTAGCGAGCCAGTTACCGAGGCGACACCGGGAAGACTAAGGGGGCCCCAAGAGTGAGGCTCAGCGTTCTCGGCACCTCGGAAATGCTGGGCCACTTCCCCACTCCTGTCCTTCCCCAGCCCTTCGTCTGCCTCGTCTCTCTTCCTCTAAACCCTCCACCTTCCCTGCACCCACTGCCGCCCCTGCTGGGACGGAGGCTGTTAGATTATTTATTTATAACTTATATTTTCTGCTTCTGCTTTTAACATTAAATGGGTTTAACTGTTTATATCCCTTGCAAGCTCCCAAGAACCAGTCTGTGTGGCCGTCAGCTGACAGTGGCCCAGTGGCCCTCAAGTGCACCCTCCCCACTCACCCTCGGCTTGTGTGTGACAGCAGGTGAATGTGACACTGGTGGCCCGGACCTTATTTTATAGGCAGTAGAAAAGCATGTGATTTCAAGAAAGCTTTCCAAAGATCTTTTTTTTTTTTTTTTTTTTTTGCAAAAGTTGAATCTTGTCATGAAAGGAATCGAGAGTCTTCTGGGTTTTTTACGCCCTGCCAGGTTTGGAGAAGGGCCCCCTGTGCTGGTCGAAGCAGCTGGGCCCGGCCGGCGGGGTGCCCAGGGCCTGGGAGGACCGGCCAGGCTGACCCCCGTGTTGCTATTTCTGTGACCACCTAACAACCAGCTGACTCCGTCCGTCTGTCTTGTCTGCTCTGCCCTTCCATCAACAGTCCTTCCACCTTGCCTGCTGCCTCTTGGTGCTGCTCCAGCTGTCTGTCTGTCTGCCCACCTGACTGTCTGCTCTCCCTCAGGATGCCTTCCACGCCTTCCACCAGGACCTCAACTTTGTGCGCAAGTTCCTGCAGCCCCTGCTGATCGGAGAGCTGGCCCCAGAGGAGCCCAGCCAGGACGGACCCCGGAATGTGAGCAGGGCCCTGGTGGAGGCTGAGCCATCCCTGGAGGGCATGGGTAGGGGGGCATGGCCGATAGCAGCTCCATCTGCATTACCCCCAGGGGCCAGGGGCCAGGGGCCAAGGCTGCATTGCTATTCCATCCCTTTCTCAGCAGGCATTGTAAGCAGAGCTGTAGGGGTGCCTCCTGGAGCCACTTGTCCCCAGATGAGCCCTCCCCTGCTCTGGGCCCAGCACCCTAATCTACAATGAGGATTTTGAGGACCTGAGCTTTAAGGGTTTTGCCCGCTCTGGCTTTTTCTGCTTCTCACGTACCCCCCACCTTTTGCAGGGGAGCCTTTGCCTCTAGGCAGTAATCCAGGTTGCACCCCAAGCCAGATGCTCTTGCCCCTCTGACCCCTTTGACCACACCCCTTGGGCCTGGTATGGGAGGAGTGGCTGTGGGGGGTTCTGGGGACAGCTGGGACTTTGCTCCCTCGCCCGACTGGCCACTCACCACGGCAGGCCCAGCTGGTCGAGGACTTTCGAGCCCTGCGTCAGGCAGCCAAGGACATGAAGCTGTTTGAGGCCAACCTGACCTTCTTCGCGCTCGTGCTGGGCCACATCCTGGCCATGGAGGTGCTCGCCTGGCTCATCATCTACTTCCTGGGCCCCGGCTGGGTGCCGAGCACTGTCACCGCCCTCATCCTGGCCATCTCCCAGGTGACTCGGCACTGTCCTGCAGCCCTCGACCGTCCACCAGACACGGGACGCTCTGGACGCTTGCTGAACGAATGCACGAACAGACGAATGAGTGAACAACTAGCCAGCGACCCATAAGATGTGTCTCTGAGGGTCAAGCTGCATTTTCAGTGAGCTGCGGAAGCTCCTTGCTTAACCCTGAGTGAGCCCAGGGCGGGGAGCCAGAACGTGCTGCCCCACATCTCCGCGAGGTGCAGCCTGAGACCTCCCGACACTGTTGTTGAAAGAAGCAGCTGGGCCCTGGCCGGTTTGGCTCAGCGGTTAGAGCGTCGGCCTGCGGTCCTGAGAGACCCAGGTTCGGTTCCCGCTAAGGGCACGTACCTCGGTTGCAGTTTGTCCCCGGCCCTGGTCGGTTGTGTGGGTGGCAGCCACTCGATGTGTTCCTTTCACATCGATGTTTCTCTCTCTCTCTGTTCCTCTCTCTCCCTCCCACTCTACCTGAACAAAAAATGGAAAAATGTCCTCGGGTGAGGATAAAAAAAAAAAGAAAGAAGCAGCTGGGTACAGGGCCCTGAAGTGGAGTGTTCGCTGTGCGTGTGCTCGGCGGGCCGGGGGCCGGGGGCGGGGGCGGCGCCAGGCCCCTGAGCCTGCCTCTCTCCCCAGTCTCAGACCTGGTGCCTGCAGCACGACCTGGGCCACACGTCCGTCTTCAGGAAGTCCTGGTGGAACCACCTGGGCCAGCAGTTCGTGATGGGGCAGCTGAAGGTGAGGGTGCGGGGTGGGGCGACCAGGGCCGAGTAGGGGTGCCCCAGTGTGCAGGTGTGGCATGCGGAGGGCCCGGCCCCACCCTGACGCTCCTCCCCCGCAGGGCTTCTCTGCCCACTGGTGGAACTTCCGACATTTTCAGCACCACGCCAAGCCCAACATCTTCCACAAAGACCCAGATGTGACCTTGGCGCCCATCTTCCTCTTGGGGGAGTCATCTGTTGAGGTTCGTGGGGAAGATGAGGACACACCCAGGCTGGGCCTCATAACTTCTGGGATTCCTCACTCTGACCCCACTCTAGCCCCCAACCAAGCCCCTCACTCTAGTTCCAGCTGAGCTCCTACCCCAGAGGTACCCCTCCCCACCTCCCAGCCTGCTGGCGACCATGGGCCCAGTAGCTAGAACCTAGAGCTGCCTTTGCCGTGTGGCCCAGCCAGGCCCCTGCCCCTGCCCCTGCCCCTGCCCCTGCCTGGGAGGAGGGCCCGGAGAGCCACCCCCCAGCCACCGCCTGTCTCCACAGTACGGCAGGAAGAAACGCAGATACTTACCCTACAACCACCAGCACCTGTACTTCTTCCTGAGTGAGTGTCCCTTTGTGCCCCCAAGGGTGGGACATGGCTGGGGTGGGACATGCGTAAGCCCCTGCTGTCTCCCTCATGCCTGCTGTGCAGCGTCTAACTTCTTGGAGAAGGAGCACTGGTCAGCCGTGCCGCACCAGCACCTGCCAGCCTCTCCCAGCCTCTGCTCTGCCACCCTGCCTGCAGCCTGTGCCAGCTGTTCACTGCCAGGCCTTTGCCCCCACCAGTCCCTCTGCCCGGGGTGCCCTCTGGCCAGAGGTTGTCACAGCCCTGCCCGGAGCCGTCAGAATTCCTTCCTGCCCTCACACCAGGATGGTCCAGAGCTCTAGAACGTTTGAGCAGTTGTTGGGGTGGACAGGGTGAGGAGTCAAGGGGTATAGCCAGAGGGAACGGGTGAAACATGCAGAAGGGCACGCAGGCGGCGGTAAGGCAAGGGTCAGCCTGAGGAGGCTCAGGCGCTGAGCGGGGAGCGCGGACCAGGCCTCGTGAGTGATGCCGCTGGGCCCAGCAGCGGGTCTCACTGATGTTGCGGGCCCCGCTCCCCCGCCGCGTCTGCCCAACCTGCTCGGTGCCCGGCCCTGGGCCTGAGCCCTCTCGTGCCCTCCTTGCAGTTGGCCCACCGCTGCTCACCCTGGTGAACTTTGAGGTGGAGAACCTGGCCTACATGCTGATGTGCATGCAGTGGAGGGTGAGTGGGCCCTGCTCCGGCCCCCGGCTCCCAGCTGTGGTGGCAGGAGGGGGCGTCAGGGACAGCGCCTGTCCACAAATGCAAACAGGTGTGCGTGTGTGCATGCAACAGTGTGGTACACGTGTGCAGGGGAGAGCCAGTGCATGCTCAGGGCATGGCAGGGTCCCGTGGTGTGGTGTCCTCCCTGGGGCGGGGATCTGCTGGGCCGACTCCGCCAGGCATCTGTCTCCAGGCAGGGTTCCCCACCTCAGCCCCTCCACGGCACCTTCGCTTCCATGCTCAGTTGGCAGGGCAAGGACCCTGTCCCTTCCCCTGGCCCAGAGAGGCGCAGCCAGCAGAAGGGGTGGGTGACCTCGGTTCCTCCCCGACTGCTTTGAGACCTCTGTCCTCTGCTCTGCAGGACTTGCTCTGGGCCGCCAGCTTCTACACCCGCTTCTTCTTGTCGTACATCCCCTTCTACAGTGTGTCCGGGGTGCTGCTCCTCTTCGTGGCTGTCAGGTATGGCAGTTCAGAGTGGCAGGGGCGGGAGGTCACACACCAGCAGCAGGAGACCCTGGCCTCAGCCCTCCACCCGCAGAGCCTCCATGTCCCCATCTGCAGAATGGGAACAGCAAGCCTGTCTCCCTGGGTTGTGGAAGAATCAAGTGACACAAGAGTGGCAGGCTCCCGGGGACAGTGGGTCTGGGGGACACGGCCTGTGGATGTTCACCCTCTTGGGGAGGGCTGCCCTGGGCTCAGCCTGGCTTGGAGCCCGCTCCTCTCAGCTGCTTCAGACACCAGTCGGGGAGGGTGTGCGGCAATCCCATTGTGCAGACGAGGAAGCTGAGGCCCAGGGCTGGTGTGAGTGGCGAGCTGGACTCGGGGCAGTGCCTGGGCCTTCCCCACAGGGTCCTGGAGAGCCACTGGTTCGTGTGGGTCACGCAGATGAACCATATCCCCAAGGAGATCGGCCATGAGAAGCACCGGGACTGGACCAGCTCTCAGGTGGGCAGCGGGGGGCCGGAGGGGCACTTCCAGGGTGGGGGTGGGGTCACAGCTGAGAGGGACGGGCCCTGATGGGGCTGCCGGGTTCAGGGGCTGCTGCGGGCTCAGGGCTTTGTGCCAGCCTCCCTCACCTGTGCCGCCACCTGCTCCTGACAGCTGGCAGCCACCTGCAACGTGGAGCCCTCCCTCCTCACCACCTGGTTCACTGGGCACCTCAACTTCCAGATCGAGCATCAGTGAGTGCAGGCCCTGGGGCCCACAGGGCTGGGAGTGAGTCTTTCCCCGGGGAGGTCAGGACGTGAGCCCCAGAACCCTGGGGGCCAGGGCGGAGTGGTGGGCAGGGCCTGGGTGGTGATGGGCAGTGGGCCCTCTGGCACCTCCACCTCAGCTGCCAGCACGTGGTCTCCTCCCCCTAGCCTCTTCCCCACGATGCCCAGGCACAGCTACCACAGGGTGGCACCGCTGGTCAGGGCGCTGTGTGCCAAGCACGGCCTCACGTACGAGGTGAAGCCCTTCCTCACCGCCCTGGTGGACATCGTTGGGTAAGGGCTCATGGTGGCTCCCCTGGGCCCCTGTCCACTCTGGTCCCCGCGGCTCCCTCTCCGAGCCCATGCCCGTCCTGCTCTAAGCTGACATCCGAGGCCTTTCCCATCAGCTCTCCATCCTGCCTGTGGCCTCGCCCCGTTCGCTCACACTCCGCCTCCCTGGCCCAGGCCCTGCCCGGGGTGCTCCGGAGACACCAGTGAGGAAACAGGCTGGGGTCCCTGCCTTCAGGCACCCACATCCTAGCAGCAGAAGCAGAGAAGGGGAGAAGTGCTTTGGCCATAAAAACAAAACAAAACTACAAAACCTAAGGGCGGGGCAGGAGAGGGCCGGGGAGGGCCAGGCAGGGGCTTTTTACTCTGGTGGCAGGTGGCTGGTGTTGAGGCGACAAGTGAGCAGAGAGGAGGGGAGAGGGCTCCGGGGAGAAGATCTGGGCCAGGAAGCAGCAGTGCTGAGCCCAGGCAGGTGGGCGGGCTGGGCGGGCAGGGGAGGGTGCGCGGGAGCTGGATTCTGGGGAGATGCTCTGGCTGTGCCCACGGCTGAGGGGAGAGAGCGCAGCGAGAGGGAGCCCGCAGCTGTCCTGGCGAGGGCCTGGGGCGGGGGGACCTGGCCGGGGAGCGGAGGCCAGGTGCCCAGCCAGACCTCTCCCTCTGTGCCCTGCCACCGCTGTTCGCGCTCCCTGGATGCCCTTCCTCCTCGACGGCTGCTTCCCCGTCACGGCCCTTCCCAGCCTCATCCTCCAAGCACAGGCCTTCCTAACGAGTCGTCGCTATTTCTGGCCCCTCTGCCTTATACTGGGCTACTGGGGGACAGGCCGGGCCTCACAAAGCTCTGGGTTGCAGGGCCCAGCAGAAGGAGGCAACAGACAGAGCCGGAGGAAGGAGGGACAGGCCCCCGGCTCCTGTCTGGTCTTGGCCTCCCCCTGTCTGATTCTGCTCCCGTCCACGAGAGGGTAGCCTCATTTTCCATCCACCTCTCCACCCCACCCTGCCTCCCAGGTCCCTGAGGAAGTCTGGGAACATCTGGCTGAAAGCCTACCTCCAACAGTGAAGACAGCACCCAGGGCCCCGGCACCCACAAGCCACTCGGGCAGGCTCGACAACCCCCACCTGGGCCCAGGGCCCTGCTGCCCACCGAGGCTCGCTGTCTTCCCCGGGCCCTCTGCCTGCCTTGCTTGGCAGCTGTAAGGCCACAGCTCTGGGCCCAAAGGATGGGCGCAAGGGGATGGTACCTAAAGCCACAGGGTGAGCACGGCCTGTTCTTCTGGAGCAAAAATGTAGGGAACTGTTATTTTTATATAAAAACAAACCCAGATATATTGTGAAATAAAGTATTGAACTTGCATGAATTCTGGAGCTGGATTCTGCCAAGATCTCCAAGAGGAGTTCAGACCTGTGGGCCATCAGGTTGTTGGGGCCGGAGATGGGGGTGTGGCTTAGGGAGTTTCCCTCTGCTGTGGGCTGGGGACCTGGCAGCTGCCTTGGGCTCATGTCACCTGAGGGCCTGTTCCCTTCCTGTCCTGCACCCACTCACCGGCAACCTTGGTGGTCACGTGGGCTCGCCTCATTTTCCTCCTGGGCACAGTGGGACAGAGGCTGATCCAGTGGACAAGGGCCCAGGGCCGAGGCCCATTCTGCAGGTGGCCCCAGAGCACAGGGTGGGGAAGCCAGTTGTCCTGGACCTGCCTTGGCCTCCTCCCCAGCCCCTGATAAGGGACCTCAAAGAGCCATGGCAGTGGGCCACCTGCCGATCTGTCACACTTGCTGCAGCAGCAGCGGGCACAGCTTGACTGCCAGGACCAGCTCTCCCGGGGCTTTTCTGCAGTTGCTGCAGGGACTAAGCTGGACCCTGAGAAGGGACCGTTTCTGGCCCTGGAGTCTGAGAGCAGTGTCCAGGGGCTCGCTCTGGCTTGGCCAGTACCTTAAGGCAGGCACTGTCCTTCCCTAAGCATCAGGCTCCTCATCTGAAAAATGGGTACAGTTGGCCTTGTCAAAAACTGTGGTTTTTGACAGTTCTTTGGAACTGCCCCCTGGGGCTTCCTGAAGGTGGGAGGAAGGGAGAGCTGGGTTGGTGGACCCCTGCAATCCCAGCACCCACCCAACCATTTCAGCAGCTCCAAACTGAGGTAAAGGTTCCATCTGAAGAAATGCCAGCAATTAAAGAAAATATTGAAATGCTGAGCTAGAATATCGGAGGGCCTTTCTGGAGTGGGAGCCAGAGTCTCCCCACCAGCTACAGGAGGGTCCCTGACTGTTTGGGCCCCCACTGCCCAGGACTGGGTTCCCTTCAGGAAGCGGAAGGGGTGTAGTATGTCTGTTTTGTTCATTCCTCTGGGGTCACTCAGCCCCACCCGGATCCATTCTGCATGGCTTCCCCTCCGAAGTCTAGCAGACCACGGGGCAAGTCTGGCTTCTGTCAGAACTCAAGGCTGCGTGACCTTGGGGAAGTTATTCAACCTCTCTGAGGGTAGTATGACCTCCTAGGGTGAAGGGATGTTGGGAAAGTCTCTTGGGATAGGGCCCAGCAACAGAGCTCAGAAATTTATTTACAGATTTTACGCACACAATTCGATGCCCTGGGAGGAGCACCTGCTCCGACTTGGGATAAGTCCTTGGTTACCTCTGAGCCTGTTTACTCCCTGAAAGGTATTTCTGCCTTGAAGGCGAATTCCACTCTTGGGGCCCCTGCATAGGCTATTTCCTCTGCTGGAATACCCCCTTCCTGTGGCCACCTGCTGACGCCTGGTGCCATGTGGGCCCTTGAATGGCATTCCCTCTATCCCCTTCCTGGGCAAGTGGTCAGTACATTTCCTGCAGTGGCTCTGATGCCTTGATCAGGGAGATAACACCCTGGACTCCAGGGCAGCATGGCCCCACCCAGCGCCAACGCTGAGCCTGCAGCGCCACCCCGGGGCACCCCGAGCATCTGCACCGTGCTCTGTGCCGCCCCTGGTGGTAGCCATGGGGAGTGCGCCCTCTCATCTGCAAATTGGTAGTTGCCTAGTAACTTGATTAAAGGGCCCTTGGGGAGGACCCCTGGCCTCTAGTAGGCACCCCCAGAGCTCTCCTTATTGCCTGGAATCTTCCACGGGCCGGTCATCTTTGCTCTTGTCCCACTCTGCCCCCCGATGCTAGGTGACCCTGGGTGCAGGTCACTACCCTTCTCCTGAGCTGGACTCTCCCTTCTCTATCTGCAGGTGTCTTAGGCAGTCACCAACAAGAATTGAGGCAGCCTGTTGTAAAAGGGAGGAGGGAAGGTCCTGGGTAGGACCTCTGAGAAACCCGTGTCCCTGCTTTCTGATCTATGGAGCCTTGAGCCCCGAAGAAATGCAAAACTTGAGTGAAGCCATGACTGTCACCTGTGGGCTGACCTGGGCAGGTGGTGGTGGAAAGAGAGGCGCAGAACCGGAGGGGCTGGTACGGGTGACAGACAAACTTCTTTGTGACAGGACAGGTCTAGGCTCTTTCACTGGTCTGGCCCTCACACCCTCCACCACCTGTCCTGGAGCATTTGGCTGCCCTGGTCAACCTGGTCCTCCTTCCCAAGCCTGTCACTAATTCTTCAGGATACTTGCTCCTGAACCAGATGATTTGGAAGAAAGACATACATGCCTTCAAAATGGAAAGAAACATTCGTAATGGTGGAGGGCAGTACAGCAGATCTTTAGATCCTTGCCTGTTAGGTGGCCGCTTGTTCTGTGTGCGCATGTCCAGTCTTAGACACAAAGCCCAGCCCAGAGAGCACCGGTGTGCCAGACCGGGGGCCGCCTTCCCCCTAACGGCCTCCATTTCTTCATAGATGGTTGTAGAGCCCCTGGGGTCCACATCTTATCATGGGTGTGGGCCAGGGGCTCTTGGAGAAGCAAGCAGTGTCCTGTCCAGAGGGGCAGGCCCCTCTGGGAACGCAGCACCTGGGACAGCTGAGGAGTCTTGATTGGTCCAAGTTCTGTGTCACCTGAGCAGTGACCAGTCACTCCTGAGGGCAGTCCAAGCCCAGCCCAGGTAGCTGCAACCTCTGTCCTGCCCCTTATTACCAAAGGCCCCCTCTTTCCTACCCATGGACCCAGAGGGTTTCTGAGTGTCCCGCTGATGCCCAAGGAGCTTGCCAGGCCACTGGCTGCCTCTGGGGCTCCGGGTCCATACACAGCCCAGGCTATTCTGCCAGCCCCGCCTCTGGGCCTAGCACCCTGCACATGCCCATGCCCCCAACACTGATGCCCTTTTATCGGGGTAGCCATCTCAGCCCGCTGTGGGTGAGCTCGTAACTCCTGCAGTCTCTACCTCCTCTGGCCAGCGGCTCGGCCTCCTGGGAGCTCTGACACTTTAATAAGATGGGGTGTGGGGTAAGTCTCGGACTGGGAAATAGCCCTTCCCTTGTAGAAAGTGGAGCCGGTCAGGTGAAGTGCTGGGTGGAGTCAGAGTCCCCCATGCCTGCCCTGACCCAGCGGCTATTACTGGGTGGCCTTGGGCCAGTCCTTTCCACTCGGTCTCAGCCTCCTGTGAATGGAAGCCTCTGGTCTTGTGATCACTCGGGGCCTTGTGTGCTAAGGTGTCACAACTTCGACGGGGGTGGGAATCAGAAACCCACAAGTCTGTGTTGAGCAGAGCCTCAGTGAAGTACGGGGATCGGAGGGGCAGTTAGACAGCAGGCATGGGTGTCCCGTTTCTTGACCCAAGGGCAATGCTTCGAGGTAGGGTCGGGGGGAAGTTATAGAGAAGATCCCAGGGCCCACTGACCTGAGCCTAGGTTTACCTGGGGCCCTCACAGACAGTGTCCAGCCTGCCAGTTCTCCCAGGACCCCGGGCCTGAAGGCCTCTAATGGGTCGACGGGAGGGCAAGGCCAGGGGATCACAGGTGTTGAGATGACATCCTTGGAGCCTGCAGCCCAGGCCCTTCGCCGTACAGATGGGAAGACTGCAGCCCACAGGGCCAGGGAGGGCAGAGGACTTGCCCAAAGCCACTCAGTGAGCAGTGAGCCAGGGGTGGGACTCTGTCCCCGCCGCTTCTGCTCCTTGGTCCTACCTGAGTCCTGTGCCCACTGGAGGATCACACATACCCTACCCAGGTCACCTGGCCCCTGCCGGCTATACTGAGATCACAGGCCAAACAAAAGGGGTACAAGGGTCTACTTTGGAGTTGCCAGGCCGGGTGGGGAGCCCCTGAGGTACAGACTACTTTGACCCTCTTGGCCCTTCCCTGGTTTGCCTCATTTGACCTGCCCAGAGGCAGGTGGTCATGCAGCAGCATGAGGTTCAAGGGGGCCCAACTGTACTAGTGCCCCTGGTTCATCCCGTTGGACTCTTCCCAGGCTTGGAGGTCAAACCCACCTATGGGACTGCCCCTTGGACCCATTTCCATGACACTGCCTATGAGCTGGTTAGTGATGCTAGGCTGGGAGGGCACAGGCTTCTGCCGGGGTACGGGGCCTGAATGCCCCTGCAGGGCCACAGGGACTTCAGGTGGAAGTGTTGGTCTCTGGGATTTCCTTGAAGCTTCTGAGACTCTTCGCCCCCAGTGGCTGTGCACAGACCAGGAAGCAGGCAAAAGGGAGGTGGTAGAGCCAGCTGGCATGAGGCTGTGGTACAGCCGGTTCCAGGATGGAGAGGGGACCGTCAGGAAGGTGGCCTGTGCCAGGTCCTCCCTGCTGCTCTCCAGGACCTTCCGGGAATCCTCCCGTGGCTCCAGGGGGCCGGAGTTGGGTTTGCCTGCGCGGCTGAGTCCCCGGGAGAAAGGCAGGCCAATCTGTTCGGATCATCTGCCCAACGCTCTTGGAGCACACTTCAGAGACGGGGAGAGGAAGTTCATGGCAGAGGCAGCAGGGGCAGCGTGGCCACAGGGGAGGAGGGGACAGAGGGCTGCCAGGCCAGCTGGCCTCCCGTGCCCAGCCCTGGCTCTGCTGCCTCCCCTCCCCCACCTCCACATCAGCAGGCAGGAGCACACGGCGGTCGCTCATCCAGGAAGTGAGAATAAAATTACCTCTTTTATTTCCAAAAAATGTAGGGCTGGGGGAGCAACATGATACAATTTAAGATCAGTTCAAAAAATTAAGATCAGTTCCCTACGGGTCCACTGGCCTCGGCCTCTCTTCTCAGCAGCGGGGCCTGGGGAGGCCCGTGTTCCCACAGCAGCCAGAGGGCCTGTCACACTAGACACCGGTCCTTCCAGGCTAGCCAGAGCTGCGGACGGGACGCCGCTCCCAGTCCTCGCTCCGTTCCTGCTCCTGCTCCTGCCCCGAAGCTAAATATTGGTTAGTGGGTTAGGTTTCCAAATGCAGTGGCTCCGGGTCCCTCCCAGGGGGCGGGCGCCCCTCCCAGGCCTCACTTCCTGTCCCCTCAGCTCCCGGCCGGACTCCTAGTCACACTTCCCACGTGGCCTCGGCAGGTCCTCCGATCACCTCCTCTGGGGCTCCTTCCGTCCCGCGGCCCTCTCGACAGTGACTGTCCGCCGGCCACCGTGGCCTCAATGCGTGAGCCCGGCTCAGCCCACTGGCCTCCAGGAGCAGGCAGGCAGAGGCAGATTGTCACAACACCCAGCCCCCAAGCCACCCCACCAGAATATCCTGTAGCAAAAGGTTAAAAAAAACAGTAAAAGGTAGGAGAGCAGAGGCCACTGAGAACCTGTCCGCACCGGCAGCCTCACTGGGCCGCCCAGCAGGGGACAGCGCTATGGGGGAGGGTTCGAACGCTCCAGAACCTGAGGCCTCCAGAACCTGAGGCCTCCCGACTAGGACAGACATCTGAACGGGGTGGGGGTGGGGCTGAGCCTGCAAAGGGTGGAAGATGGGGGGCAGAAGTGCTCAAGCCCTGGTCAGAGGGCTCCAGCGGGGCGAGGACCCCTTCCTGGGCCCGAGGTCCCGGCAGCTGCAGCCTAGACTCACAAAGTATCTCCCCACGAAGGGCAGCCGTGGGCGCCCTCAGAGGGTGGCGCCCAGCCTGCAGGGTCAGGGAGCCATCCTGCTGGACTAGGACCCGGCCCCACGGACCAAGAGCGGCTGAGGGAGAATGGAGGGCGCGTGAGGCCAGGCTGCGGGCGTCCAGGCGCATCTGTGGGCCCGTCTCAGGGGCAGAGGGTGGAGACAAGTGCGGAGCCACCTCTTTCTGCTGCCAGGGGTTGGGGCTGACTGAGGGCAGGCCCCACAGGGAGGGTGCAGGAAGGCGAAGTGAAGGGGAAATGGAGAGGAAAACAGGAGCCATACCAAAAATGGGGTCTGAGAATTGGCATGTACCCCAGACTCGTGGACACCCTCAGAACAAAACCCACCCCTCCCTTTGGCCAGCATCCCCACTGCTCCCCCTTCCCCATGGGCACACGAGGGCTGCAGCTTCATTTGTGGAGGTAGGCATCCAGCCATAGCTCCCCAGACTTCTTCAGGGACCTGGGAAGGAAAAGGGGTGGGGACAATCAGGGACCAGGAAAGGGGCAGGAGCCCTAGGGGGGGGTAGGCTGGGGAGGCCATGCTGGGGGGGCAGGTGCTTCCTCCCAGCTCTCAACCAGGGGCTGCAGCTCAGGGCTCCCCAGGACCCCCTGCGGAAAGACAAAGGGAAGGCCAGGCCCTCATCCAGCCCAGGCAAAGACCGGCAAATGCCTAGTAAGGGAGGTGGCCTGCTGGGCACCTGTGCCAGCTGGGCTCGGCCCGTTGTGGTTGCCACCGTCTCCACCATGGGTCATCCGAGTGATGTCCCTCTGCCCCCGCCCTGTGCTCCCGGGGCTCCTGGGGCCTGACACCCAGGGCTCCCCTTACCGGATGATGTCCTGCAGGGCCCTCAGCAGCGGTTTCTCCTGGTACGGGATGCCGTGCTTGGCGCACAGAGACCTCACCAGCGGGGCAACCTTGTGGAAGTTGTGCCGGGGCATGGTGGGGAAGAGGCTAGGGAGAGCGTGGGGGCAGAGTGTGAGGGCGCCTGCCTCCTCTCTTGGCGGGAAGGCTGCCCTCTGCCCAGATGGGCCACGCCCCTCACCGTATGTGGCCCCTCCCCCACTGTATGTTGCCCTCCTCCCCCTCACTGTATGTGGCCCTCTTCCCCTTCACTGTATGTGGCCCTCCTCCCCCTCACTGTATGTGGCCCCTCCCCCTCACTGTATGTGGCCCTCCTCCCCCTCACTGTATGTGGCCCCTCCCCCTCACTGTATGTGGCCCTCTTCCCCTTCACTGTATGTGGCCCTCCTCCCCCTCACTGTATGTGGCCCCTCCCCCTCACTGTATGTGGCCCTCTTCCCATTCACTGTATGTGGCCCCTCCCCTTCACTGTATGTGGCCCTCCTCCCCCTCACTGTATGTGGCCCTCCTCCCCCTCACTGTATGTGGCCCCTCCCCTTCACTGTATGTGGCCCCTCCCCCTCACTGTATGTGGCCCTCTTCCCCTTCACTGTATGTGGCCCTCCTCCCCTTCACTGTATGTGGCCCCTCCCCCTCACTGTATGTGGCCCTCTTCCCATTCACTGTATGTGGCCCCTCCCCTTCACTGTATGTGGCCCTCCTCCCCTCAATGTATGTGGCCTCCCCCCTTACTGTATGTGGCCCCTCCCCTTCACTGTATGTGGCCCTATTCCCCCTCACTGTATGTGGCCCCTCCCTTTCACTGTATATGGCCCCTCCCCTTCACTGTATACAGCCCTCCTCCCCTCCACTGTATGTGGCCCTCCTCCCCTCAATGTATGTGGCCTCCCCCCTTACTGTTTGTGGCCCCTCCCCTTCACTGTATGTGGCCCTCCTCCCCTCAATGTATGTGGCCTCCCCTCTTACTGTATGTGGCCCCTCCCCTTCACTGTATGTGGCCCTATTCCCCTTCACTGTATGTGGCCCCTCCCTTTCACTGTATATGGCCCCTCCCCTTCACTGTATACAGCCCTCCTCCCCTCACTGTATGTGGCCCCTCCCCTTTACTGTATGTGGCCCTATTCCCCTTCACTGTATATGGCCCCTCCCCTTCACTGTATACGGCCCTCCTCCCCACTGTATGTGGCCCTCTTCCCCTTCACTGTATGTGGCCCCTCCCCCTCACTGTATATGGCCCTCCTCCCCCTCACTGTATGTGGTCCTCTTCCCCTTCACTGTATGTGGCCCCCCCCTTACTGTATGTGGCCCCTCCCCCCACTGTATGTCACCTTCCTGCCCTCACCCACCCCTCTGCACTCACTGGTGCTCGATCTGGAAGTTGAGGTGCCCGCTGAACCAGTCGTTGAAGAAGGACTGCTCCACATTGCAGGTGGCGGCTAGCTGTGCAGGGGGAGGGGCGGAGTGGCGGGAAGTGAGGAACAAAGGGCCTGTCTCCTAGCCTTACTGAGGTCTCAGGGCCGCCCCTCCACGTCACACTGCTTTGCTTGGAGTCCTCAGTCCCCAGATTCCCCATGGGTCCTTCCCTGCTGGGCCCTGTGCCGAGCAGCGGCAAGGTGCAGGCAGCCCCGGGAAACCCAGCACCGCTCAGGGTCTGCTGGGCAGCCACAGACACGGAAGGGGCCCCAGTGACCTCACCTGGGTGCTGAACCAGTCACGGTACGGCTCTCGGTCAATGTCCATGACGATGTGATTCATCTGCGTGACCCACACAAACCAGTGACTCTCCAGGAACCTGGGGGACAGTGCTGCTCAGTGTGGAGCCCTGGCCGCCTTGTCCCGTGGCCCTGGCCATGGTGGCGCAGCATCTCCCCCTGACCCCAGCGGCCCGAGCAGGAAGTGAGGACCTCAGACACTTTCCTCGGGGTTCCCTCTCGGCAAAGCTCCAGTCAACACCAGTGCTCGGGGGGCCCAGGGATTACCCAGCAAAGCTCAGGCACCTGATGAAGTTGAGGAAGAGGATGGCTCCCAGGACGCCATAGAATGGAATGTAGGTGACGAAGAAACGGGCATAGTAGCTGATGGCCCAGGCCAAGTCCTGCCAAGAGAAACACGATCAGACGTGGGAGGGCCCCATCCTCCCTGGCGCTGTCCTGACCCTGGGTGCGAACACAGGCCCTGCTAGGCAAAGGGGGCCAAGAAACTCCCACAGGTGTCTCAGAGGTTGGGCGGCAGTTTGCAAGACCATCTGTTTCTGGGGATGCTGGGCGTTTGGGCAGCAGGAAAGAGCTGTGTGCTCTGCTTTCAGGGAAAGAAACAGGGTGGGGACCAGGGGACATCGGCTGAGGGGAGCTCATGGGGAGGGGCCAGAGGTCAGCAGCCCTTTCATGGTCCCAGGAATTCTGATCGTCACACACACACACACACACACACACACACACACGAGGCTCATAAACAGCTCTATGGCCCTGTCCATACTCATCGGCATCAGGGAGCTTATCCAGCATGACAGGGGAGTATGTGCGCGTGCAAAGACCAGAGATACCATCTGTCCCCTACTTCAGGGCCATGTTGGCAGGTGTTGTGCCTCCTGTCTGCCACAACAGGAGCCTCCCACGAGTCTCTGGCTCTCCCTGTGCAACCGTGGCAGAGTGGCCTTCCTAACGCCACGCAAACCCCATCTCCCCTGCTAAGCCTCCCACCCCACCCAGAGTAGCCCACAATGTTAGGAGGGATCAGGGACCCCTCTCTCCTCTACCACCTCAGGGCCTTTGCACTGACTGTTTCCTCTGCCGGGAATGCTCATGCAGTAGCTGATCCCACATCATTTCTCCACCCCAAAGCCTTGGCAGGGTAGCGATCAGCTCGGGGTCAGGCTGCCTGTGCTACCCCAGCTCCTCCACTGGCTTTGTGTACCTGCAGGTGGTTTAACCTAGCTGTGCCTCAGTTTCCCCACCCGCAGCATAGGGAGAGAACCTCCCAGAAGTTCTACATGGCCTGAATGTGTGTACTGAAAGCACAGCCTGCACTATGAGCTCTCACGACTCCAGTCAGCCCCTGCACCACTTTGCCACCCCAGAGACCTTCCTACCATCCAAACTGGATCACAGCACCACCATCCTCAAAGTCATCACTGGCCTCATTCCCTGCAGAGGACACACGGTAAAATCCAGCCTCTGGGAAGGACACACACAAGCCCTTCACATGCCTGCCCCTGACCTTGCCTCCTCTGCAGCCCATTTGACCTAGGATTTCCTGGCCGGGACGTGCTCTGCATCCTGGCTGTATCTGCCTGGAGGCTCCTTCTTCCCTTATCTGCTCAGCAAACTCACCTCTCAATCCCGCTCTGTCCAGTTAAGCTCCACAAACATTCAGTGAATGCCTTCTCTGTGTCAGAGGCTACGTTAGGCGCTGGGAGCAAAAGGTCATTCAGAAGCCCAGACTCCAAGGACAGGCTTAGAGATCCCTTCGATACCACATGGAAGGGGACAGGTAGTTATGGGGGAAGGATACCTGGCATGGGGTCCTGACACTCTGGGATTTAGGAACGGCCTCCATTAGGAGGTGGGGCCCGAGTCAGCCAAGCAAAGAACAGAACAGCAGGAAGGACATTTTCAGAAGAGGCGAGGATACAAAGAAAATCCCCACAGGCGAGGGTGGGGGCTGGGGAAGGCAACCGGCAGGAACTGGTTTTTTTCCATCCTCACCCAAGGATATTTTTTCATTGCTTTCTAGACAGAGTGGAATGGAGAGAGAGAGAGAAACATCGATGTGAGAGAGACACACCAATTGGTTGCCTCCTGCCTGACCCGACCAGGACCAGGGATCAAACCGCAACCGAGGTTCGTGCCCTTGACTGCAAATCGAACTCGAGACCCCTTGTCTGCAGGCCGATGCTCCAGCCGCTGAGCCAAACCGGCCCGAGGAGCAGCAGCTATGTTTACATACAGGTTATTTGTTCCACATTCTCCAGCCCAAGTGCTCGAGGTGGGGGCAGGAGACCACGGCTAGTCTGCCTGGGGAGATCGACCTTTGCCCCACTGAGAATGTGAGGCAACATTTGCATTTTAAAATAGATCGCCGCCATCTGGAGATGTAGAGATTAGGTTATTTCAGTAGGTCGGGGAGAAAATGATGGTGGCCCCAACCAGGACCCGCAGCACCCATGAGGAGGTCACCAGCCTAGAACTCTCTGGGGCGCAGAGGTGACTGCAAAGGGGGAGGGGAGCGGCGAGAGGGCCAGTGGAGGCCAGCCGTGAGCCCTGGGCAGGACCGCGGGACTGAGGAGGTGGCCTGTAAGGGACGGAAGGAGCAAAGATGACAAGTTCTGCTCCTACTTTTCACCCCTTCGAGTGTGACATCTTTCCTGTGTATCTGCAGGGTAGAGAGCACCCCTGTGCTAAGGGGGGGCGCTGCTTCACCTTCCTGCGGAGTGACGCAGGACACGGCGCCACTGGTTTAGGGGGAGGGCTGGAGACCAGGGAGAATTCCGGGAGGGGGCTGGCAGTGGCGCCAGGTGCTGCGGAGCCCCTGCCTCCCAGCTGAGTCCTGGGAAGCACCCCCAGATGTTGCCACCGACAACAGAGCCACAGAGGGAAGACGCCCCCCTCGACCTACTCCCCCCTCGACCTACTCCCCCAGCCAGGCTCTCAGCCTCACAGGCTGGCACTTGGCTGAACAGTTCTTAGTTGTAGGGGGCTGTCCTGTGGGTGGTAGGGTACCCAGCTGCCTCCCTGGCTAGGTGCCCACTAAATGCCCACAGCACTCTCCCCCGCTCCCCTCCCAATGGTGACCAAGGGGATGGTGGAGCAGCACCGCCCAGGTCACAGCAGCGCTCAGTAGATAAGACGCAGTGCAGGGCATGTTCCACACGCGGCCACGGGCCCTGAGGGGTGCCGAGTGGCATCCACCACGAATCCCCGACACCACGCCCGGGAGCAGTCAGGAGGCCGCGCCCACCAACCCAGCCTAAACCCTACAGGCGGGGCGAGGGCAGGGCGGCAGGCTCCCCCCGGCAGGCCCAGAGTAGGCCAGAGGGGACTATCAGATGTCCCTGGCTCTGCCATCTGACCCTGTTCAGGTACACAGTCTGACTTCCTCTCCTGCAGTCCCTATTTAATCGCGCTGCTCCTTAGGGAACAAACAGTAAAAGAAAAGAAAAAAAAGATGAAATATTCATGTCAGGAGTCATCTGCCATGAGAGCAGATTGCAATGCCGCCAGCAGCATCACCTGACCCGGCCCCGCAGGGCTCACATTCCTCGCAGCCAGGACTCCCCGCAGGAGTCGCTGTGAGAGCAGATCTGGGTTCCAATTCCCGTCACTTGACTGACGCAGAAATTCCATTCCTCCAGCCCATCCCAGCCCGGCTGGTAAACAGGCTTAAATGACGCAACGTCGGAGGCAGAGCCCGACTGTTCCTAGAACTCGTGAAGTCCGGATTGAGTGCTCACTTTTGGGAAAACAGCCCCTCGTGGAAGTGAGTCGTGCACATTCCACCAGCACTGGCAGACTCCAGAGTCGCGCCTCCTACCCCACCGCCCCACCGGCTCGAGCCCAGTCCTGGCTCTGAGGGGCATCGACAGCCCGGCTCCTGTGCCTGCACTTTCGAGGAGAGGGTGTGGGACAAAGTGCTCTTAGGCCTTTCAAATGCTACATAAAGACAAGGAATTGTTATTTCAGAGACTGGTGGCTGAAGTGTGGGGGAGGGTCTTGGACCCGGCACGGGGTGCCTGGGTTCTAGAGCCCCGCCCTCCCCTTGCTGTCATCTTGAGTAAACCCCAAATTCTCAGAGTCTCAATATCTTCATTTATGAAACCGAGTTAAAGAAAATAAGAGTCCAGCCAGTGTGGCTCAGTGGTTGAGTGTTGACCCCTGCACCAAGAGGTCGCCGGTTCAATTCCCGATCAGGACACATGCCCAGGGTGTGGGCCTGATTCCCACTGGGGGGACATGCAGGAGGCGGCCAATCAAAGTTGTCTCTCACCGATGTTTCTAACTCTCTCTCCCTCCCCCTTCCTCTCTCTCTCTAAAATCAATAAAGGGGGAAAAAAAAGAAAATAAGAGACCAGCAATACCTGCTAAGTGACTCTGTGGAGTGGGGCCCTGTCCCTGTCCCACTGAAACCTGCCCTGCCTACACTGATGCTCCACCTAGGTCACTCCACGGTGGCACAGCATCCTCTCAGGCAGAGTCATGCCCATATGTCTACACAAAGCCAGACAGCTGCGTGCACAACACTATTGGCCCCTCTCCAGGGTCCCTTTCTCAATCTGGACAAAATCCAGAGATTCCCTCTACTCTGGTGTCATGGGCTGCACGGTGTACCCTGAAATACCCATGTTGAAGACCTAACCCTCAGGACCTCACAATGTGACCATTTTTGGAGACAGGGTCACTCCAGATGTAATTAGTCGAGATGAGGTTATGAGTGAGGCCCCAATGCACTGCGACGGTGTCCTTATAGAAAGGGGACATTTTGCCCTGGCCGGTTTGGCTCAGCGGTTAGAGCGTCGGCCCGCAGACCAGAGTCCCGGGTTTGGTTCCTGCTAAGGGCACGTACCTCTGTTGTGGTTTGTCCCTGGCCCCGGGGTCGTGTGGGTGGCAGCCATTTGATGTGTCTCTCTCACATCGATGTTTCTCTCTCTTCCTCCCTCTCTCCCTCCCACTCTGTCTGAAGATAATGCAAAAATGTCCTCGGGTGAGGATAAAAAAAAAGGGGGGGGACATTTGAACAGATGCCGACACACACACACAGGGAAGACTATGAAGAGACACGCGGAGAAGGTGCGGCTGTCCACAGGCCAAGGAGAGTGGCCCGACCAGACCTTCCGCACAGCCTCAGAAGGACCTGCCCCAGCCACACCACCGCCTTGGACCTCCAGCCCCGGACTGTGAGACAACACAATTCTGTTGTTCAAAGAACTGCCACTCAGTCTGTGGAACCGAATATGCAGCCTTAGCCAAGTGAGACACCTGCCGTCTCAGCCACCGCCCACTGGCGTGCCCTGTGACCTCGTTCATGGGTCTCAGGGCTGCACAGGGCTCAGGAGGTCAAGGGCCGGAGCAGAGCGCGGAGGGGCGGGCCGGCCGCCTTTGGCTCTGATCACACTGCCTTCAGGAGCTTTGAGGGGCTCCGCCAAGGTAGTGGCTTCCCAGCAGATCACCTGTGGGGGATCTCAGGAGTGGGGTGCAATGGCCTGCCAGCTCCTGGCAGCCTCAGAGAGTAATAAGGCAGCCACCCCAACAGGAAATGCCCAGAGCCCCAGAGGCACAAGAGGGCACAGTGCAGGCCCCAGGGGTCCAGCGCCCAGACTCCCCGCCCCCACCCCCGGGCCAGCTGTGCCCTTGGACTCACCACCCAGTGTTTGTGAACGATCATGGACATGATGATCTGGTACTGGAAGTACAGGGGGATGAGCAGAGGTGGCCCAACTGTAGGGGAGAGAGTGGAGCAGGGGTGCTTAGAGGTGCCCTGTCCCGCCCGCCCGTCTTGTCCCTGGTCCGGGCTGGAAGAGCAGGAGGAGTCGGGGCCAGCACCTCACTCCACCCCCACGCGGATCCCTAACAAGTGTGGGACCCTCCTGGCCTGTGTCCCATCTGTATGAAGGGCCAGGAGGGCTGCTATGGCCCCTCTTTTTTCTAGGTCTGAAAAGGGTGTCAGTGGGAGAAGAGACGGGGGAAGGGAGTCTGGGGTGAGGTCGTGGGCACCCCCACACTCACCCAGGAAGAAGTACTCGTGCTGGTGGTTATAGGGCAGGTATTTCAGCTTCTTCTTGCCGTACTGAGGAGAGAGCGAAGACCGTGAGTGCCCAGCACCTGCCGCCCTCCGAGCCCCTCCCCACCCGCTCTGCAGCCACCACCTGTCCTTCCTGCTCAGGGGACCTCTGGCCCTCTCCTGCACCCCAAATCCCCAAACCTGGGCCCCTCCAGCCCTCTCGGCGGCTCAGCGAGCGTCCCGTGTCCCGTGCAGGCCTCAGCTCATGCTCCACCCGAGCCCACACGCTGGCACTTCTGAAGCTAAGGCTCAGGGTCAAGTCCCTGCCCAAGGCCCCAGCAGAATGCGTCCAGCGGGGATCTGCACCCAAGAAAGCTGACTCCGAGCCCATGTGACAGTCACTACATAAGTGTTGCGTAAATGCACAACACGGGCACAGACCCCCGAGGGTGCACCTGGTGTCTCCCCCCCTTCTCGAGTGAGAAAGCTGCCCGGTCATCCCAGGCAGCTCCCCAGAGCCCAAAGCAGCTGCAAGAACCCAGGGAAGGGCCTGGGGATTTATGAACAGTCACCGGGCTGGGAGCATCTACCTCTTTAAAGCCTCCTGCAATTTCCAAAGCTAATCAGTCCTCCCAGGGCACCAGTCCCTCCCCAGTAGAGCAGTACCCCTGGGCCCTGCTGCCCTGATACTCCAAGGGAGGAGGGTTGGGCTGGGGCCTAGGCATCCTCACTGTACAAAGCTGCTCGGGCCACTGAATGCAAGCCAGTGGGAGAGCCACAACCCCACAGGTCCCTGCTCCTTAGGGGCTGAGACCAAACGATGCTGCTTGCAGAGCGGCAGCTGCGCTTGCCTCCCATGTTGGGCTCTGCGCAGGGGGCCCAGGCCAGGGCGACATCCTGCACAGGTCACTCCGCCCCTCTTAGCCCCACTGGCATCCATAGCACTGGCTGTTAAGAAAAGCCAATGAACCCTGGCCAGTGGCTCGGTCAGTTGAACATCGTCCCATGCACCAAACGTTGCCAGTTCGATTCCCAGTCAGGGCACATGCCCGGGTTATAGGCTGATCCCCGGTAGGGGATGAGAAGGAGGCAGCCCATTGATGTCTCATGCTCACATTGATGTTTCTCTCCCTCTCCCTTCCTCTCTCTCTAAAAAGTCAATGAAAAGATCTTTAAAAAAAAAGAAAAGAAAGAAAGAAAAAAAGCCAATGAGGACAGGGGTGCTGAGTCCAGGGACACTTCCTCCGCAGCCCTTCCCTGGACCTGAAGGCCAGAGCCACCCTCCTCCAGTGGTGTCCGTTCCTCCTTACTGCCGAGAAATCAAAGCAAGGTGGATGGAGACCCTGGATGTTATCCAGCCTAACGCCCCTGGTTCTCCAGGTGAGAAGTGGGGGAAGTGACTGTCACAATTACAAGGAGGGTCCTGAAAGGCGGGCTCTGGACAGGAACAAAGCCCAGCCTGTCCCCAAGGCTTGAGTCTTGGTGCCCCTGGCCACAGTCATAGCCACCGGCTGAAGCATCACCCAAATCAGTCGGCAGGGCCTCACTCATCCCCAGAAAGATGTCCCTTTGCTCAAAGACTGCAGTAAGGCCAGGGCTGAGGCCAGTCTTGGAGAGGTCCCAGCCAGGGAGCCTTCAAAAGAGGGGGGCACATGGCCCACAGAACAGGCCCCTGGGTCCTGATCGAACTTCCTCCCGAAGCCAGGAAACAGGCCCCTCGGCCCAGCCTTTGTAGGCTTCTTTGGCCCTGGACAGGAGCCTTCCCCAACCCTCTGCCTCAGGTCACCCCAGGGGAGGGCCCTGGGCTCAGGGGACCCTCTCCAGCTGCTCAGGTTCTATTCACTAAGGTTTCATGAGCCCAGGCAAGTCAGCAGAGAACAGAGGGTCCCCACAGAAGGACTTAGGGGTGTCTGAACTGCTGGGGGAGGGGGACAAAGGAAGTCACCTAAGAATTCCTTTGAAGCTGCATGTGCACAGCAGTGAGGTGTTTTCATTTATTTATTTATTTGGGGGGTGACAGGGGCTGATGTTCCCCCAGCGGCCCCAGGCGTGTCCCTTCACTGCCCAGGCTGACCCTGCTGAGGGGCAGTGGCAGGCCTCTCCAGCAGCCCCGAGAGGCCCAGGCCGAGGGCGGCAGGGGCTCGAGATCATCTGGGCTCCTCACGTCACGGCCCTCCACCCCTTGGGCTCTGGGTTCCTTAGTCACCACAGGGCTGTCGAGGGAGCGGCGGCTGAAGAGCACATGCACTCCAGGTAGGCGCGGGCTGGCTTCTGGCTTGTCCTCACACGCTCAGTCTTTGTCAAACCCAGCCGTGTGCCCTGGCGGGCTTGGCTCAGCGGTTAGAGCGTCGGCCTGCGGTCCAGAGAGACCCGGGTTCGGTTCCTGCTAAGGGCACGGACCTCGGTTGCAGTTTGTCCCCGGCCCTGGTTGGTCGTGCGGGTGGCAGCCACTCGATGTGTCCCTTTCACGTCGATGTTTCTCTCTCTTTCTCTCTCTTGTTCTCCCTCCCTCCTACTCTGTCTGACCAAAAAATGGAAAAATGTCCTTGGGTGAGGATAAAAAAAAACAAAAACAAAAAACAGCTGTGTAAATCATGGGTGCAGGGACAGGACAGGGGAGGTATTTATTATTATTATTAATGTTTTTATTGATTTTTAGAGACAGGAAGGGAGAGGAAGATGGAGATAGAGACATCAATGAGAAACATCAATTGGCTGCCTCCCACACGCCCCCCACTGGGGATTGAGCTCATACCCCGGGCATGTGCCCTGAATCGAACTGGTGACCTCTTGGTGCATGGGTCAACACTCAACCACTGAGCCGCACCGGCCAAGCAGGAGAGGTATATTAGAATGTACCAAGCTAGGAGGGGGATCCATGGCTCTTCCTTCATCAGAAAGCTGGAGTGATCCACCAAATACATCTCCGTAATGTCTACCAGGTGGCAGCCTGGATAAGGTCCCATAGGACCTCAAAGCCCTGGCTCAGGGCGAGATGGCCTGGTCCTGGATGGTGACGCTACGTTTTCTCGCTGGAACTTTGAGCTCTCAGCCTTCATTGTTCCATCTATCAAATGGGTTTGTTGAGGGCTCCTGCCTCATGGTTAAGCAAGGATTAAGGGAAGACCTGCACGCAGTGCTCAGCACAGTGCCAGGCCCTTATTCGGTAAGAGTCTGCCTTCCTCCTCACTGGGACCCCCACCCCTCCTCTCCTCCAGCAGAGCCCTCCCCACACACAGGGAGAAAGCTGGGGACGGTGGGACCGTCAGAGGGGAGACACCAGGACGACAGAGGGTGCTTTCACCCAGGCGAGGTATGGGTGGCTTACTGTGTCCCGGCCCCAAGGAGATGTGGCACACAGGGCTCTCTTTGACGCATTCCCAAGCGGGGGCTGATTGGGGACACAGGCCGGAGGCACAGGGAGAGGGGGCACTGCTAGCGGGTGGCCTGGCTTCCCGGAGCTCCATAACCCTTTGCCCCGGCCGGCTGGCCCTCCTTGCTCAGCCTCTCCTCGGACCACAAGGCTAGGCTTGGATTATGAGCTTAGATGCCAGGGGCATGTACAGGGGACTTTTCAGCTTTGGAACAAAATGTCTGAGGAAGGACAAGGGCCTTCCTTGTCTGCTCAGGGGTGGGGGTGGGGAGCTGTCGCAAAGTCCAGCCTCAGACTCTGGGAACCTGCAAACTCACACAGAGAGAAGCAACAGGGCCATGCCAGGCATGTGCAGCTCAGCAAGACCCCCACCCCCAGCCCATGGGCCCTGGGAGGAGGGCCATGGTCATTCCAAGAGAACCCTGGTTGCTTGGCCTGAGCCAGGAAGCCCAGAGGGTCGGCAGTGGGCAGGTGAGGGGCCGGGAGAGCATCCCAGGCGGGTGGAAAAGCAGGATCTCGGCTCTGAGGCGGAAGCACAGGCAGTGCCCTGGGGACAATGGCCTCGATGGTGTGGCCAAAACCAAGGATGAGCGAAGTCAGCCTTGACATCATTCCTATTTAATCCTGTTCCGGAAACTCCAGGGATGTCATAAACCCAAACCAGACATAAGAATGGGGAGCTGTTAGGTAGAGACTAAATCTTGATAACTTTCAAGGATATGCTTGTCCACAGGGGAAACTCAAGAGAATCAACTGAAAAGCAACTCGAATCACAGACACATGTGGACACTACCTGGACCTCAGACAACCAGTTAGCCAAACATCAACGGCTTCCCTGCCTTCTGGAGAAACCCCAATCATAATGCCCAAAATGGAAAATATCAAGCATTAAACCAAAAAAGAAACATCCACCAGACATAGAAAGAAAAGTATGAAAAACAAGACATGAAGCCTATCCAAGAACTATACAAGGAAACTTGAGAAATGAAGCAAATGCCTCACTCCGACACGGAAAGGCCGACTGTAAAGGCGAAAATCCTCTCCGCAAGGGGAAAGGCAGCCCGAATGAGTTATTAACTAAGTGCCGAGGATGACTGGGATGATGCCCACATCACCCAGACAGTGTTCCAAGCAAGGACAGACAGATAGCCCAGCCACTGGGTTCAGGAGGGATCACGGTCCTGCGTGGCAGGGACAAGCGATGGGACCCACGGTGGGAGCTTGGGAAAGTGGCTGGCTCTGGCCCTGGCCGATTTGGCTCAGCCGTTAGAGCGTCGGTCTGCGGACCAGAAAGTCCCGGGTTCAGGTCCCACTAAGGGCACGTACCTCGGTTGCAGTTTGTCCCCACTCCTGTTGAGGTCGTGTGGGTGACAACCAGTCGATGTCTCTCTCTCTCTCTCTTCCCCCCTCTCCCTTAAAAAAAAGTGGCTGGCTCTGGAGAAATGTGGGTCATCAACTTGCCCAAACCCACTGGGCAAAAGTTAAACATAAAAAAGTGAAACTCCCGGCAGGTGTGGCTCACTGGTTGAGCGTCGACCCATGCACCAAGAGGTCGCCAGTTCGATTCCCGGTCAGGGCACGTGCCCGGGTTGTGGGCCCGATCCCCAGTGGGGGGCGTACAGGAAGCGGCCAATCAATGTTCTCTCTCATCGATGTTTCTATTTCTCCCTTCCTCTCTCTCTAAAAAAATCAATAAAACATATTTAAAAAGGGAAACTATAAAACACTGAAAAGAATGTGTATGAAGAACGGTCTAAGCATAAAAGAAATGAAAGGACCCGGGGCGGGGAGAGGAATGAAAACGTTTTGCTACATAAAACAAAAAATGTTCCCGGAAGTCATAAATAAGACCAAAGGACAGAAAAACTAGGAGACGCCTGCACACATCTCGGCATGCTGGGTGGCCTTACGGAGCGCCTGGCAGGCTGGTCTGTCTGAGGCTCGTGGAGATCAGAGCCCTGGCCTCCCTGTTCTGCAGACCGGCACCGGCACGGGCATGGGTCTGGCGCGGGACACACGCTCTCAGACCCATCGGCAGCATGGTTCTGTGGATGCCAGGGCACAGCTCGGCCAGGAACCCAGAAACAACTGCTTTTCCCAAACAAAAATGCGAGCGAGGAGGACTGCACGGAGCACTGTGACCCTGGGCTGTGGTTCTGCAAATGTTACGGGAGACTGGATTACCAGACCCCAGAACCTCCTGCCCAAAAGCCAGCACTGGAGAAGGGTCCAGAGAGAGGAGGTGTTGGAAGAGGATTCACTGGCTACCAGACAGACAGGAAAGACGCCTCCCTGCCAGCATAGCTGGTGACACTAGATCTTGATAGGGACACACCGAGTGTCTGTCAGGACAGCCAGCAGCCCGACACAGGAAGCCTCGCTCAGCAAGCGAAGCCTTTGTCTCTGCTTCCCGGGAGGCCCCGCCAGTCAGGTCCACCATCCGACACCTCTCATCAGAGCCGGCACACTTCCCTAGAAAAACTGAAGCATGCACTTTGGCACAGAGACCCACACTTCCAAAGCACCGCGTCTGGGGTTCCTCTGAACTGAAGATGTCACAGAAAAGCCGTGTTTCCGCGGAGGTCCTCTCTCCAGTGACATGAAATGGGAGAGGGCGTACAAGCAGCATTGGGGCAACAGGCTCTCTCCTCGCCCTGTTGTAAGTCTTGGATGGCAACTCAGGAACAGAGCAAAAGTCGAGACATAGCTCCGTACTGAGGCCCGGGTGCCTCCCTTGGCGGCCGCCCCCTACCTGCCCGCCCTGTGATGCCAAGATCTGCAAGAGGCAGGGGGCTGGTCTCATCTGTTTTACATCACAGTGGATTTCCAAGAATCAAAGCACATGTACATTTTTTTTGAAAGTGAATTGTTAACACAGGCTGTCGCAAAGAGGTCCCACTTTTTAAAAAGGTGCATGAAATGAGGACATTCTTCAAATACACTGGGAGTGCTTCTATTCAAAGGAAATGAAGCTTCGACCAGTTTGGCTCAGCAGTTCAAGCGTCAGTCCAAGGACCTAAAGGTCTCGGATTTGATTCCCAGTCAAGAGCACATACCTGAGTTGCAGGTTCGATCCCCAGCCCCGGTTCGGGTTGTGCAGGAGGCAACCAATCCATGTTTCTCTCTCACATCAATGTTTTGCTCTCTCTCCCCCCTCCCTCCCTTCCACGCAAATGCTTATAACGGGTAGGTTCTATATTTATAATAAAAAATGCACTAATATTAAAATAAGGCCATGTGACAGAGTGGAAGAAATGGCTAGCTGTCAGGTCGGAGGCCTCCACCTGTGTGACCCTGAGCACACCCCCTCCTCCCGCTCAGCCTCACTATCATCTGCTGGTGAAGAGGTGGACCAGACCATGCCCAGGTCCCTTCTAGTGTCTAGGACTGTAACTTTTGAAACACACTTTCCCTGAGCTGGCCTTTGGGGACCAAGCTTGAGCCCTGGACTTGTGTCTTCCTGCAAACGGAGACCCAAGTCCCCACTCCCCTAGGACAAACAGGCCAGGAAACGCTCTGCCCCAGCCGGCCGAGGGTGGCAGCTGACCGCTGACCGACACCAACACTCTGACAAGGAGCCGTGTCCCTCATTCACACGGGAAGCCATTCCGCAGAAATCCCAGCGTGAATGATGCGGGCGCCCAGGAGAGGTGTCCGTGTAAACGTCGGGTCTGGTGAATACTCGCCCTACAGCACCACCCGCCACCCAGGCAGGACACCTCCCAGGCCGTCACTGCCCCTCCTCGTACCTCAACGGGCTGCCACTCGCCCAGGACAAACACATGCAGCATGTTCACGTCCGGGTCCTTCTGGAAGATGTTGGGCTTGGCGTGATGCTGGAAGTGGCGATGGTTCCACCAGTTGGCGGAGGCACCCTGTGGGGGGTGGAGGGGTGAGTGGCGCAGTCTGCAGAGGGCCTGAGCTCGCTGGCGACAGGCCCTGCTGGGGACCAGTTCCTGGGGACCTAGCTTCTCCCTCACTCAGGGCCGACATCTCGTTCCACATGGGTCTCTGCCCGACAAAGAACGCAGCCCTGCCAGGACCGAGTTAAGAACGCTGGCAGCCCTGTGGCTGGGACTTCTGAGTGGAGCCAAGTCACCCCATCCCTACAGGGCTGTCTCCCCAACAGTAAGAGGGGGCGGTGGGCGGGGCTGCGGGTTATGCGCCCGATGGCGAGCGCTCCTGCAGGTGTGGGCCCTCTCTGCGCTCCTCCACGCCAGGCGAGAGCCTCCATGCCCTGGGCCTCCGCAGACTCCTCCGGGACAGTAAGAAGTGGTCTTGCCCGGCTGCTGTGGCTCAGTGGAATGAGCGTGGACCCATGGACTGAGAGGTCCGGGTTCGATTCCCGCGTAGGGCACATGCCCAGGTTTCAGGCTCAGTCCCCAGTGTGGGCGTGCTGGAGGCAGCAGATCAATGTTTTTCTCTCACATCAACGTTTCTGTCTCTCCCTCTCTCAAAAAATCAATAAAAAAGCATATTTAGAAGCGGTCTTGGTGTGAACCCAACAGAAAGGAAAGCGTGGCCAAACAAAATCTTGTACATGAGTGTTCCCAGCAGTACTATTCAAAATAACCAAAAAGTGGAAACCACCCAAATATCCCCGGCTGATAAATGGGTAAGTAAACCATGGCAGATGCACACAGTGGAGTGCTATCTGACCTTCGAAGGAATGAAGTCCTGACGTTATCACACAGATGGACCTTGGAAAACCTCATGTAAGCCCAGCTGGTGTGGCTGAGTGGACTGAGCGTCGTCCCATGGACTGAGAGGTCCCGGTTCGATTCCTGGTCAGAGCATATGCCCGGGTTGCAGGCTCCATCCCCAGTAGGAGGCATGCAGGAGGCAGCCGATTGGTGTTTCTGTCTTACATCAGTGTTTCTCTCTCTCCCTCTCTCTTAAAAAAAAAAAAAGGTCAATAAAACATTTTTAAAAAAAGAAAAGCTTTATGTAAATGAAAGAAACCAGCCCCACAGGACTACACAGATGATTCCATGTACACGAGATGTCCAGAACAGAGACATCTACTAGACAGAAAGATCATTGGTTCCCCAGGGCTAGGGTTGAGGGTGGGCAGAAGGGATGAGGGGATCGGGAGGTAATGGACAAGAGGCAGAGGTTTCTTCCGGGGGTAATGAGATGTCCCAAAATTAATTGCGTTGATGGTTAAGTCATTGGCTTGTACACTTTAAGTGGGCAAATGGTATAGTATGTGAATTGTACCTCAATAAAGCTTTTTCTAAACAAACAAGGGCCCGAAGTAGCTGGCAAGAGACAGCCGACAGCCGGGCACGCTGTGTAGTGAGGGGTGAGAACTGACCACATCGCTACCACACACAGGCACGGGCTTCCTGGTTCTGACACGTAATCTAAAACTCAGATTTTAGGAGATGAGAAACACTGCGTATTTCTTTCCAGGCCATCAACTGGTCTCACCCGCTCAAGTTCCTAACTCATTCTGAGGGCGTGTCCCGCCACAAAGCAGCCCTGTGATGCACAGAAAAGAAACCAGACTTCCGAGCCCTCACACCAGGACTCATGGTCAACTGTTGCGGGTCAGTCGATGTTCTGGCCAAGGGTGTGGCCACCTACAAAAAGGCCTAAGAGCTAAAACAAACATTTCAGCCCTGACTGGTTTGCTCAGTGGTTAGAGTGTCGGCCTGCAGTCCAGAGACCCGGGTTCGGTTCCCACTAAGGGCATGTACCTCGGCTGCAGTTTTGTCCCCGGCCCTGGTTGGGTCATGCGGGTGGCAGCCACTCAATATGTCCCTTTCACGTCGATGTTCCTCTCTCTCTCTCTCCCCCTCCCACTCTACCTGAACAAAAAATAGAAAAATGTCCTCGGGTGAGGATAAAAAAATAATAAAATAAAATAAAATAAACATTTCACGTAGGAGATGTTTTTGGTGCACACACGGTCTCTGAACACCATGGGCGGAACAGCTCTGAGCAGCTGTGGGCTCTGCGGGGACCTCAGGCCCCTGTACGCAGGCGGGGCTCAAAACCCACCAGCGCAAACAAAGTGTCAGCGAGTGAGAGCTTAGAGGATGAAGAAATCAGATGACACATTCGTCTTTCTCGCCAGGAGGAACCAAATTCCTGATCAGAATGAAATGGAAAATCTCGGAGACAGGCATTAAGCCCAAAGGCATGTTATGAGCAGGCATGATGTTTGCTGAATGAGCAACGGGAGGAAGAGCAAAATGGGCTCTGAACACCGGCAAGGTGGGCCATCCCTGCGCCGGACCGGGTGGAACACCAAAACACTTTTTTTTTTCCTTTATTGATTCTAGGGAGAGAGAGAGATAGAAACATCGATGAGAGAGAACATCGACTGGCCGCCTCCTGCATGCCCTCTACTGGAGATCTGGCCCACGACCTGGGCATGTGCCGTGACCGGGAATCAAACCGGTGACCTCTTGGTGCCTGGGTTGACGCTCAACCACCGAGCCACACCGGTTGGGCCCACAACACTTTTGATCGTTCCATTCCTTCGCTGTGGTGCTCTCCCCTCCTCCTTCTCTGTTAGGCAAAACCCTCCTTACCCTTCACGAACCCTCCTTCCCATGAAGCCCTGCTCGCCCTGGATGAGGGACCCAGCCTGAGCCCTCCGAATGTGGCGGCAAACGGAGGAGAGTCCTCGTCTAGCGAGGGAGCTGGGCATCACACCACACTGATGGGGCTGATATGCCAAGGTTGCGGGTTCTATCCCCAGTCAGGGCACGTACAAGAATCAACCAATGAGTGCATATATAGCTGGAACAACAAATCGATGTTTCTCTCTCTCAAATTAATAAATTAAAAAAAAAAATTTTAAGTTGATATATTGTTCAGTGTGGATTCTTTTGTCTTAATTGTGCTTTTTCAAGAAAATATTGCATTAAAATGTTATCTCGATGGCTGGAGTTTTTGTTGTTGTTTTGGTATTCCCTTAAATTTTGCACCCTAGTAAATGCCTCGCCTGCCTCACCTAGTCCTGGCCCGATGGCTCCGGACGAGACTGTGGAGAGGCAGGCGGGGTCCAGGCTTCCATCTCTACATGCAGACTCCACATGTGCCAGGACCTGCCACCTGCATTTTATCCTAAGTGCAATGCCGAACAATGGAAGGGTTTTTTGTTTTTTTAATCCTCACCCGAGGACACTTTTGCATGTATCTTCAGATAGAGCGGGAGGGAGAGAGGGAGGAAGAGAGAGAGAGAAACATCTATGTGAAAGGGACACATCGAGTGGCTGCCACCCACACGACCCCAACCAGGGCCGGGGACAAACTGCAACTGAGGTACGTGCCCTTAGTGGGAACCGAACCCGGGACTCTCTGGTCTGCGGGCCCACACTAACTGCTGAGCCAAACTGGCCAGGGCCAATGGAAGGGTTTTAAGCAGAAGTATGACTGCTTAGAACTGTCTTTATAAAAGAGCAACCTCTGGAAGAATCAGCCACCGGATGTGGCCCGGGCTCAGGGAGCAGAGACCTGGGGAGCTCACACAGAATCCCACGGCCTCGCAGGCTGGTGCTAAGCAGCAGGTCCCAGTCCCTCGAGGCTCCCAGCAGCCCGTTCACTGTCCTCGCTGCTTGTGCTAGACCATCCGAGGGGACAGGGTTCCCTGCAGACAGCCACTTTTTGTCCCAGCAAAGGGATCAGAGCAACAGATGGCCTTATAAGACTTGTCTGTAGCTGTGTGGCCACCCAGTGCCAGAGCAACTCCAGGCAAGCTAATTGCCCGGGCTCTGGGGCACCCCTGGGTGAGCTGCATGGCCACGCCATTGGCCTAGACACAACACGAAGGACACAGCTAGCAGGGGGCTAGTGAGTGGAACTCATGGCCCTGAACTCCTCTCGTCTGCCGGCCCAAGGACTGCCTTCCTGTCATTCCAGAATTCCGATTGCATGAGAGGTTCTCCACGGAGGCCAATCCTCTGTCCTGACCTTGTCTTCCATATGACACAGAGCTGTGCTCCAGGGCCCTTCAAGGACTGAGGGACATCAGCTCCTGCCCAGAGTCTGGAAACAGGACACAGCCCATCTTTGTTGAGTGCGTGGGGATAGCATGCGCCGGGCGTGAAATGTTATCATCCAATACTGAGGAGGGTTTTATCCAACTGAAAAGCATATAAGATGAAACAAAGCATTCTACTATGCACACCCTCTTTCCTCACCCCTGAAAATCGGGGGGAAAAAAACAGGTTCAGGGCCAGGCCAGCCACTGGCTGTAGAGCTGGTGACTAGTTCAGTGCTGGGGGGAAGGGCTGGGCGGAGGGTGCATGTTTCAGAGAGCGAGCTGGCAAGGACTCATTTCCAAAACCAAGGAGATAACGTCTATCAAATCAGCACAAGGTCAATAGCAAGTCCGGCTAGGGTTTACAAACTTGCCACATCCCTGGGCCAGCCTCCTGTCTGTAAGGTGGACAGTAGAACCGTCTTCCCTTCTGAGTTGTTTTTTATTTTTCTCTTTACTGATTTTAGAGAGAGAGGAAAGGAGAGGAAGAGAGAGATAGAAACATCGATGAGAGAGAACATTGGCCACCTCCTGCATGCCCCCCACTGGGGATCAGGCCCACAACCTGGGCATGTGCCCTGACTGGGAATCGAACCGGTGACCTCTTGGTACATGGGTCGATGCTCAACCACTGAGCCACACCAGCTGGGCCCTTCTGAGTTTTAAACAACTCTAGTCCCTTGGTTCAACTGCTCTTAATCCTTAGCTGAAGACTTCTAGGATGCCATTATCTCCTTTTCATACCCCGAAGCATTTCTGAAATGGCTTATGATAAGACTCATAGAACTAAAATGATTAAAATGAAGACAAATGACACATGATGGGAGGGGAGAGTACATTTAACAAAAGCTAGACTAAGGATAGCGCTGTTCGCTGTTCCAAGTCTTGCATTGTGTTTCCCGGGAAGAAGGGGAAAAAAAAAAAAGAGGAACTCAATGTATTCAACAGCTCAAATTACTCCAATTCATCAAGAGAAACTGTTTCTCTACTGGCCCCCAACTGAAAGGAATGTATTAGATAAGGAGTAAACAGTGCAACCAGAGTCAACAGACAAGAGGCACGTGTCTGCCTTCATGGCAAGCACACAGGTTCCGTGGGTCTGACGAGATGTGATGGAGCCAGGGCTCGGGAGGCTGAGATGTGGCGGACTTGAGGGTCTCACAGCTGGGGACCGGTCTCAGGGTAAAGTGAGACACCACTTCACCAACCGGTAACTAACTGGACGCACGCCCAGGGCTGCTGACATTTACCTTTACGTGGCCGATGATGAACTTGTGGACGACATGGTTCCATGTGGACTTCTTGTAGACAGAGAGGTGGCCGTAATCATGCTGCAGCCATCCAGCCTGGACCTGGGGAGACAGGGCCAGATGGCTTCCCAGCGGCGGCACCAGGCGCCAGGCCTCTGCGAGCTGGGGGAGTCGGGGGCTTCGAGCGCCAGGTGAGGGTGTCAGGCCTCACCTGAGAGGTAGCAAGGACGAAGGACGTGATGATGGTCGGAATCCAGCCGTTGCCGAAGTAAAAGATGGTGAACCACGCGATGCTCTCCATGACGATGATGTGGGCCAGGAGGAGGAGGAAGAAGAGGTGGTTGCTCTTGAACAGGTTCATGGCCTCGGCGGTCTTCCTCAGGGCCCGGAAGTCCTCGATGATCTGGGACTGCGGAGCAAGAGCACAAGGGAGGTGTCCGCCACCGTGCGTGACGACCGCCGTCACTACCACACACCCGCCTGGGCCTGGCCCAGGCCTGGGGACTGGACTGCACTGGTCCGGTCACGTGGCAGAAAAGGTTCCACTCCAAAGCTTGCATTCTGCACACCCACATTCATAATAGGCAGAAGGCGGAAACAAACCAGACACCATCAGTGGGTGAATGGCTAAGCAAATCGAGGTCCATCCATCCGACGGAATGTTCTTCAGCCTTAAAAAGGAAGGGCCCATTCCTACGTGCTACAATGTGGATGAACCCTGAAGACACTATGCTCAGCACAATGCAGCCAGACGCGAACGGACAAGTGCTTGATGGATTCACTTAACGGAGGTGCCTGCGACAGGCACCTCCACAGACAGAAAGGAGACTGGTGTCTGCCACAGGCCGGGGAGGGGGAACGGAGGTGAATGCTGAACGGGGACGGTCTCTGTTCGGGAAGATGGGAAGTTCTGGAGGTGGAGGTGGTGATGGTTGTACATGTGTGAGAGCACGCACTGAACTGTACACCTAAAAATGGTTAAAATGGGTACATTTTATCTTATGTCTACTTCACCCCCCTCTCCCCACGCACAGGAGCTCGCGTTTTCCACGGCCCAACACTGTGGCACGTGTTCTGGGCGCCCTGTTGGGCCTTGAGGTGGAGGCCGGGAAGACAAGAACGGTGAGGACCGAGGCCCTGCCTCGAGAGCTGGTCGGTGGGTCAGGAGTCACGGAGGCGAGGCCCAGGAGGGCTCTGGGGAAAGGTGGGCGTGAGGCAGGGCAGGAGGAGGGAGGAGTGGCGGGCAGGGGATGAAGGGAGCTAGGGGACAGGCCCCGGGCACCGTGAAAGGCAGACCGGGTGACGTGGGTGGAGGCCAGATCTGGGAGCGGGGGGTGAGTGAGGAACCTGAAGACTGTCTCTGGCAACCATCGAGCAGCAGCAATGGGGGGGAACGGGGTGGAGCCAGAGAAGCAGGGTCAGGAAGAGGGAGCCTGTGGGGCTCTGCCGGGCGGGGAGAGAAGCTGTCTGGAGAAGGTGGAGGATGAAGCCACGTGTGAAGGCCAAGGGGGACACCATCTCGGCAGCAGGAGGGGCAGACATGGAGGTCCAGAGGGAGGGGAGGCTGACCTCTGGAAGACACACAAGAGGGGACGACCCTCTGTCCAGCCTGGGTCCACTGAGGGAGGCCCAGAGGGAGAGGGGCTGGGAACGAATTACTCGGTCAGCCAGGCTGGAGCTCCTACAGCGGCTCTGAGTCCTGCCCGACCCCAAGTGACGGGTGGTAGCGCCCCCTAGACTGGCATAAAGCTCCCCTGTCCACCTGGGGTGGGGTCTTCATCTCCCCGAAAACGCTCCCCTCCTTCCTTGGTGGGGTCTGACTCACATTCTTGCCCCGGTCCTGGCTGGGCTCCTCCGGGGCCAGCTCTCCAACCAGCAGGGGCTTCATGAACTTGCGCACAAAATCAAAGTCACGGTGGAAGGCGCGAAAGGCATCCTGGGGAGCAAGGGGTAGGTGGTGAGTGGGGACCCCGACCTCAGCCTGCACCCCTACCTGGGAAGGCAGGACTCACCAGCAAACCCACTCAGACACGGGGCCCCAGATGCCCTTTTAGGCCTCATCCGGAGCAGGTCCCTCAGTTCCGGGCTCCTGCCATGGTACCACCTGTGCCTGTGCCCCGGTGAGGGGCCGCTGAGCTGGCCAGGGGTGTGCACGTGGACGCGGGGGAGTCAGAACACTGCGCCTCTCCAGGGAGAGATGCAGGGTGCGGGCACCAGGCTGGGCAGGGCCAGGGAGGGACGTGAGCTCCCTCGAGCTCCTCTGCTGGAACCCTGCAAAGAGGGCCCCCCACAACCCCGGCGCTCGACTATCGACGAGGCACAAGGCTGGCGACTACACGGCATGTGCTTAGGAGACAAGGTGAAACCAAAAACAAATGCAGAATTAGCTTCAGGCACTTCTGAAGAAAGCTTTTTATCATCTGAAAAAGTGTGTAATTAATTATGAACATTGTTTTTATGGCAGGCTCTAAACTATTGTATGTTAGGTGGTGGGGCATTAGGGCTTGCTTGATTTCCATTACTTTCCAAACTTCCTCTAACATTGCTATATTGCTTTAATTTTTTTTTTTTTAAGTTATCCATTTTAGCCCTGGCCAGTTTAGCTTAGCAGTTAGAGCATCAGCCCATGGAATGAAAGGTCGAGGGTTCGATTCCTGGTCAAGGGCACATACCTGGGTAGCAGGTTTGATCCCCGACCCTGACTAGGGTTGTGCAGTCCAATCAATGTCTCTCCCTCTCCCTCCCCCCTCCCACTCTCTCTAAAAGTCAACAGAAAAATATCCTTGGGTGAAGATTAACAACAGAAAGCTATCCATTTTAATCTTTTTCCAGTCATAAATAATGTGCATAGTTTTGGCAAATTTAGAAAAAGGACAGAACAAAGGAAAATAAATACTACCCAAAGAGTGACCACCATTGCTAGGATTTTAGTATATTTCTTTCCGTTGTTTTCTATATGCATTATGTATATTTCATAAATTATCTTATATCAAATATAGCATCCACCTTGGAGCTGCCAACAGGGCCCCTGATGGGCTACAGTGCAATGTCCCAGGGTAAACAACACTCCCTGTGCAAGGCATCAGCTCCGAGACATTGTTGGGGCAGAGGAACAAGTCCAATGGCACCAGGAGAAACCATCAGGGAAATCAACGTAATGGGGAAAAAGTGAGGGTGGTGTGTGGAGGGGATATCCAGATGAAAAGAGACCAAAAAAGAGTTAATATGCCCTGGCCGGTTTGGCGCAGCGGTTAGAGCATCGGCCTGCAGTCCTGAGAGACCTGAGTTCGGTTCCCGCTAAGGGCGTGTACCTCGGTTGCAGTTTGTCCCCGGTCCTGGTTGGGTTGTGCGGGTGGCAGCCACTCGATGTGTCCTTTTCACGTCAATGTTTCTCTCTCTCTCTCTCCCTCCCACTCTGTCTGAATAAAAAAAAAATGGAAAAATGTCCTCAGGTGAGGATTAAAAAAAGGAAAAGAGTTAATAAAAAGATAAAAAACGGCAATGCTTAATTTGAAAGACTCTATGTGGGGGCGGGGGGAGAACCCAGCAGTCATACAAGACATTTTGGGGGTTGAATGAGAAAACATGAATATGGATTGGTTATCTGATCATATTAAAGAATCATTAATTTTCTTTTTTTAATGTAAGATTTCCTTCTTTTTTTTTCTTTATTGATTTTAGAGAGAGAGGAAGGGAAAGGGAGAGAGATAGAGACATTGGTGAGAGAGAACATCGATTGGCCGCCTCCTGTGTGTCCCCCACTGGGGATCGGGCCCGCAACCTGGGCCTGTGCCCTGACCGGGAATCGAACCGGTGACCCCTTGCCGCATGAGTCCACGCTCAACCACTGAGCCACACCGGCCGGGCTGCATTATTAATTTTCTTACATTTAGCAAAGGTACTGTGATTATGCAAGAGACTGTCACAATTCTTAGAAGAATACGGTGAAGAATTTATGGCTGGGGTGGAGAGGATACAACTTCTTTCCCGAAGGTCCAGTCTAGGAAAACAGCACCCGCACAGAGAGGGAGGGAGCAAATGCGGCGCGGCGTTAACACCCCTGAATCCCGGCTGCAGCTGTACAGGTGTTTACTTAGTCTTGCAACTTCTCTGTATGTTTAGAAATTTGGGAGTTAAAAAGGGGGAGAGGGAATGGGCAAGTGCTGAGAACCCATAAAAATGTTTTCAGTCACCCCCACCCCCCACAAAGTATCTCCCAGTGTTCTCCTACTTCCTTACTGCATCCCTGGCACCAAGTCCTCCTGCCAGATCTTTGTTCTATTTGTGTCTAGAACAGACTCACAAAGCCCCACTTTGTGGAGAGGGAAACTGGGCCCAGTGTTTTTTAAGAAAGGTCTGAGCCCCTCGAGCTGGATGGAAAAGGGACGGTGGCAGAGGTTTCGGTTATGTCTATTTTCAGAGGAGAGACCTGCTGCTGTCCAGGGGCCCTGGGCAGGCAGCGAGGAGGCCTGGGGTCCGGTACGCTGGACCAGCCACCCCTGCAAAGTGAAGACCCTCCCAGCTCCAAGGCCCTGCGGAAGGCCCAGGGCTGCTTCCCAAGCCGGGCCGTGCACTGTGGTGCCATGAGCACAGCTCCCTCCACAAGTCAGAGTCCTTCATTGGTCCTGCTCACATGGGACCACAGCTTCTGAGACGCGAACAGGAAGTCCTCGATAAAAGGCAGCTTCCTGAGGAACAACTGCCATGTCTGACAACTAAACGGTTACTCTGCTTTTCACAGAGCGGCAGAATCCAGTTCCGTGGTCTGCAAGTGCGTGCACCCCACACCCCGCTCCCACTGCCCCTGCCAGGCTCAGGGCACTCGGCCAGGCCCTTGCCCGCCAGGCCCTTGCCCGGGCTGGGGACCCTGTGGAGCGCTCAGGTGGCCTCACCTCCTGGGAAGGGAAGGGACAGGAAATGCCAGGCAGGGAGCCAGAGGCTCTGTTACTCCCTTAAGCCTCAAGCCCTGTCTGACAATGAAGACCCGGGAGCTCAGGAAGGTGGCCTCCTGGGCTCCCCGTGGCAGAGCCAGGACCAAATCCAGGTTCGCCTGACTCAGGGACTGCCTCCCACACACCTGATGCCTCCTGCCAGTTTAGAAAGCTGACCCTGTCCCTGGAAGTTCCAGCAGTTTTCTGAGCGAGCCGGTGGGAACCACCATCGAACCCACCAAACTCGTTCCCACACCAGGGCCTTTGCATGTCTCCTCCCCTCTGCCTGCTGCCACGCACAGCGTCCCGTGGCCAGTTCCATTTGGAATGCACCTCTTAAAGGCTTTTCCCAACCACCCCATCTGAAATAGCCAGCCTGGCCCTGGCCGGTTTGGCTCAGCGGTTGGAGCGTCGGCCTGCGGTACAGAGTGAAATAGCCAGCCTCCAGCCCCATACTTTCGCTGAGACATGTTTTATCGTAATCAGAGCAGTCAAGATCACAGGCTATATTATTACAGATGCTCAACCTACAATAAGGATACACCCCACAGTAGAAAAATTTAATACACCCAACCTACTGAACATCATCACTTAGCCCAGCCTACCTTAAGTGTGCTCAGAACCCACATTTGCCTACAGGTGGGCAAAACCATCTCACCCAAAGCTTATTTTATAATAAAGGGTTGAATATCGCATGCAACATATTATGCACACCACTTGCACAGCATCATAAAGTCTAGAAATCCTAAGTCAAACCATCGTAAGTTGGGGACCCTCTGTGCTCACTTCTTTATTGCCTGTCTCCCCCACTAGAATATAAGCTGCACAGGGAAAAGCCACACCTGTCCCATTTGCTGCAATAACCCCAGGGCCTACAACCGTGCCTTGCAGAAGGGCTCACAAGTAGCCCTGGCTGGTTTGGCTCAGCGTTAGAACACCAGCCTATGGTCTGGAGAGACCCGGGTTCAGTTCCCGCTAAGGGCACGTACCTCGGTTGCAGTTTGTCCCCGGCCCTGGTTGGGTTGTGTGGGTGGCAACCACTCGATGTGTCCCTTTTACGTCCATGTTTCTCTCTCTCTCCCTCCCACTCTATCTGAACAAAATAGAGAGGAACAGAGCAATAATGTCCTCGGGTGAGGATTTAAAAAAAAAGGGCTCACAAGTAAATGTGGGGACCAAGGGCCCATGCTGTGCACCCCCTAATCCTCTCTGCAATCATGTTCAGACTCTTCTGCCGTTTTGCACAACTCGGTTTATGCTTCTGGAACGCCAGAACTCCTCCCCTTCTCCAGCACTTAGACGTGGGTGGCTGGCAGAGGGGCCACATGCTGAGAGAACGTGGGCTAGCCACTGAGCCACAGGCTTTATGTCCGCTCGTCTTTACCAAACTGTGAGACATGAAGAGACGGAGGGAGACGAAGCTACTTGCCCCTGGTCATGTGCCAGGTGTGCCTAACTCTAGAGTTTTCCACTGTTAACACAAAGGCCTCGATCAAATTGAGCGTCCTCCTCCCTGGGAGCTGATCACTGTTTGTGTCTCTCCTTTCAGAGGGTCCCAGATGCCGCACACATGGGCACAAGGTTGCCCACAGCTGCTCCGTTAAAGCAGGGCCTGCTGGTGCCAGGCAGATGGCGCGCCAGCCAAAGCAAAGATCAATCTTGGAACAAGAATTGGAACCAGGCTCTATCCTTATCTGATAGGGAGAGAAGCCAGAGCCTTTCCAGGTGAAAGCCGGGGACACAGGTGGAGAGAGAGGAACAGAGCAGAATGCACTTTCAGAAGAGTATGTGGGAGTCAAGGAGGCCAGGCTGCAGAAGAGAGCCAGAACCCAGAGCACCCCGATTCCCAAACAGAAAACATGTGCATGTCACACTTCCTGACCTCACAGTTCCTGCCTCTGCCATCATCCCACTCCAATGCCAGCCAACTTCTGCAAGAAGACATATCCCTGCCCCAGCCCGACTCCAGGTAGAGCTTGTAGCTCCTCCCCCGACAGTGAGTATTGGGGGTCATGATGTGTTTCTGTGTCACCTTCTCTGTAGAGCAAGGCTGGTGTCTTAATCCAGCTTCACACCGATCTCGGGATTTGGGACAGCCCTGGAAACCGGGACTCTGTGGAACACGTGGTTAGAGGGAGAAGCAGAGGAGGGTCCCTGGCTTCTCAGCTGGAGACAGGGATGCTCACTTACTTTCCAAAGCAGAGAGATGCAGGCAGGGCAGGAAGCCCCTGTTCCATATCTCTTCCAAGGGAAAGAAGCAACAGATGCTGGTGGGGCATTGCTCTGTGCCCAGCGCCCTTGGAGAGTGTCCCTGCTGATGCCAGGTACATGCACTGCCAGGGGGCTCGGGAGGGCAGGGCTACACAGAAAGTAGGCCCCATGCAGGCAACCTGGGCAAGATGGAATTACAGCGGGGAAACAGGACTCTGCCCTGAGGATGTGGCTAGCAGGAATTGAACTCCTCCATCCAGATTAGGTTGAGGGAGTGGAGCTGTCCTCCATGCATAATCAAGGGAAGGATTTCTATTGCAGTAAATGACTTTTCCTTTGGTAAATACAGGATCACTTAGGTTGCCCTTCACACTTCTTTTGCTATTTTTTTTCTTTATTGATGTTAGAGACAGAGAGGACGGGAGAGGGAGAGAGAGATAGAAACACCGATGAGAGAGAACATTGATTGGTGGCCTTCTGCATGCCTCCCACTGGGGATTGGGCCCACAACCTGGGCATATGCCCTGACCTGGAATAGAACTGGCGACCTCTTGGTGCATGGGTTGATGCTCAACCACTGAGCCACATCAGCCGGGCCCTTCTTTTGCTATTTTACTCAGCTCCCCACTGTGTATGCTGGGAACATATACACAGTATCATGAACCTTCACACCTGCTGAGTATTCTGAAATCTAAACGACCTCAGCACAGCCCACTTGAGCCTGATAATAACCTTCCCATTTCATAGGCCTGGAAAGGGAAGTTCAAGGTAAGTGTCCTGCCTATGAATTCATAAGTCGGGCACTCAGACCCAGGTCGTCTGCCTCTACTGTGGCCCCCCTGCCCCATCTAAAGGAGGACAAAGATCCATTCCATTTTCAATCTGTTGCTTTTCACAAGAACAGCGCAGGAGCCAGGTAAAAGAAAACACATCCTGGCCTCTCCTTCTCTGGGTTCTAAGAAGGGACAGGACGAGGGGGTTAGGGGAGCTGGAGTCTAGAGGCAGAGGGTCTGCATTCAAGTCCCGGTTTGGGAGGAAGGAGGGAAGCAAACCAAGCAGATGTGGTCTCTGTGGGTGGATTACTCATCTTTGTGCCCAGGGCCCAGCTCAGAGCTATGGAGACACTGAATAAATAAATGTGGGATGAAACCGTAGTTGGAGGTGAGAAGTCCCCAGTGGGGAAAGCTCTGCAGTGGTGGGACTCTGCCATGAAAAGAGCAGACCCTGTGGGGACACGGACGAGGGTCCCTTTTGTCCACAGCAAAGCAGAGACCAGAGAGGTGCCGAAGGACCAGAGGAAAAGAGATCAGAGGTGAAACAGGGAGAGAGGGCCCGAGATCAGGCCCAGGGGCTACTTCAGCAGGTTTTTTAAATTCATTTTAGGGAGAAAGAGAGAGAAACATCAATTTGTTGCTCCACTTGATGCATGCATTGGTCGACTTCTCATATGTGCCACGACCAGGGCTCGAACCCAAAACCTTGGTGTCGTCTCAAGATAACACTCTATCCAACTGACATATGCAGCTGAGCTACCTGGCCAGGGCTTGAGCAGGTGTTTAAACCTACTAGCAACAAGCAATCAGAGGTGCCTTACAGGGCTGATCCCAGGCATGGATAGTGAGATAACAGGTATGAATGTGATTTGTAAACTGGAAAAATTAAGCAAACTTTTATTCTGACAGGCAAAGCGAGAAGTTCTAACTTCCGCAGAAAGCCCAGAAGGCATCTGCCCTTGTCCTTCACTGTCTGGGAAACAGGCCGTCCTGAATTCTGGGCTCTTCTTCAGAAACAGGAAAATTCCCCATCGAAAATCGGAAGTGTCCCCAAGAAGAGCTTCCTTGACTTCAGCCTCTCTGGAGAATTTGATTCCTAACAGAGCATGAAGGTGCTGCGGGGGACCTGACCTCTATCTGTTGATCAGTCCCCTGCCACACTTGCCCAACCCTTGATAGTCACTCCCCAAACTCTAAGGAAGAAGTGAGTCCATGCCCCAAGGGGCAATGCACCTGCTCAACAGCCTAAAAACAAAAATTCTCTTGATTCTTAACCTGTTTTTGCCTCTCTTCCAGAGGGGGTGGAGAGAGAGAGAATGAATGAATATCCAGTTGCTCACTTCACCATTGTTCAACTATATTCCCAGTTAGTACATTTCACATTTAATGCCCTAAAAGTCTGATCTTAAAAGGAAGTACGCTTCTGGGATAGGGGTTGTGCGAGAGGAGGGACAGGCATTCCTGGCCGGATTTAAAACAGAGGACCATTGAGTTGAACGTCCCAGAGTAACCTCGGGTGCAGCTAGACCTGTTGCCAAGCCACCCTAGTGCAGCTACAACCACGCGGCTGATGCCGCCTCTGGACCTGGGCTTGGTACACTCCAGCCCTTTCTCCTTTCAACAAAGTCCCCACCCGAGTCCCCAAGGCTGATCCTTGGAGTGAGGTGGGTCCTGGGACTCAGAGCGTGGGAACAGGAGCTCCCAGGCGGTCTCTCCGAGGCAGCCATTGCGGGCCTCCTCCGACCAGACTCCGGACAGAAGCGGACCCGGCCAGGCACGAGCTTTCCTTCCCCGCCCCCCTAGTATGGCTGGAGGGTCTGGGTGGAGAGTGAGAGACGTTCCGGGTCGCACACCTGGCTCCTCTCCTGCTCCTTTCGGCAGCGCCCGGGCGGCCATCTTCCACGCCGGGGCGCCAAAGCCTTAGGGCCTGAGCGCCCCCTTTGGGGTGTCCCTGGTTCCCGCGAACCCGGAGGAAGAAGCGGACGCGTTCTGTCCCAGTGCGCGTGGTAGGTAGATCCAGCACGATTCTCCACCTAGGCGCTGCGTACGGGGGTCCCAAATCCGACCCCACAGCAGGTGGGCCCGGCTGTCCCACGGACGAGGATTCGGAGCAGGGGATGAGCACAGCAGACACGCTTTCTTTCCCTGCGGGGTGCCCCCAGCTCCATTCAGCAGTGGTGGTTTGGCGCCCGGGAACCCACGGCTCCTGACTCCCGCCTTCAGCAGAGAAAGGCGGTGGGCGAGCCCCCAGACACTTACCGTAGCATCTTCCCCCGCGTAGTGTCCGATGACCCGGTGGCCCCCCGGGTGCCGTCTGGACCATTTGGTGATGTTGTAGACCTTGCGGTCGACGACGAGCCACTTGTCGGTGGGCAGGTTGTGCTTCTGAATCTCTTCCCAGCTGAAGGTGGGCATCGGCGCCTCGCACTCGGTGGCCCCCTCGCCTCGGTTCGCCCCCTTCCCCATGATGCCTGCCAACCAGGATCCCCCGTGTACTGCGGCCTCCCGGTGCCGGTTGCCCGAGTGTGCCGCCAAGCCCTCCACGCCTACGGCTTTTGTCTTCTTCTACTCCTCCTCCCACCGCGCCCCCTCCCCCAACCTCCTCGACTTTGCTAGGGAGTGTGCTGCCAAACGTCTCCCGGGATATTCCTGGTTTCCAGTGCCCCCAGCAGTCCCTCTCCCCCGCCCCGCCCTCCGCCCGCCAGCCCGCGATGGACTTTTGCCACCAGTAAAAACTCTCGGGAGCTCAGGGCCTCGACGCCTCCTCCGCCCGCCCCTCCGGCTTCCCCCGCCCCGCGCTCCGCATCCTCCCGCGTTCCCCGCCGCCTGGGTTTCCACAGTGATCAGCAGAGTGCCTGCACCAATCCGGGCGCGTCGCCCCGCCTGCCATTGGCCCAGGAGGATCTTTCGAAGGCCAGCGGGCTGGAGCGGCGGTCCCCGGCTACCCCGCCCGCGCGGCCGCGCGGAGTCGAGCCCTGCCGCAAGGCGGGCTACGTGTCCGACCTCCTTCCTCCCGCCCGCGCCCGCGCCCGCCCCCGCCCCCGCCCGGGGCGCAAGAGGAGATCCCAGAGGAGCCCGGCGGGGGCGCGGGGGCGCGGGGGCGGCGGCGCGGCTCCGCGCGCTCCGGAGCGCGTGCGCGCACGCCCGGCGCTCCCAGGGTTTGCACCTGATGCCGGCACAAAGAGGGCTCGGCCGGCGGGGTAGGCGCCGAGCCCCCGGGCTGCCGAGCTGCACTCGGGGACTGGCTGGGCTAGGTGACGCCCCTCCCCAGCGCGCTGGAATCGGGACTCCAGTATCTCTACATTTTGTGACCTTTCCGCATTGGCGCCTCTTGCAGCCCCCGCTGGAGGAACGAGCCGGCCTGAAGCCTGTAATCAAACAATCTCAGGAAAGGATCGCGGGACCTCTGCTCTGCTTCCTTGTCCTAAGCGCCATCGGGGGAGGGAGAGGAGGCGGAAGCGCCGTGGTGAGGGCAGCAGGGACGCCACCATGAGCAGGACACGGTCCTTGCCCTGGACTCAGGAGGCTCACAGCCTCGTTGGGAGAGGAACATGGAAGCATTACAGGACCACACACGATAAACAGGGCATTGTTATTGCACAGGCTCCAGGAAATAAAAATGAGGGTGTTACAAGGATAGGTGGAGGCACAGGTGCCCAGACCCTAGACAGATGGAGATGCTTAGATCGGTGCCCGAGGAAAGGGCTGGCAAGGAAACCTGGATCAGAAGGCTGGCTGAGGTCAAGTGGGAAATAGGGTGAACGGAGGGGTAGTAAGGAAGCTCTTAGGCATCAGGGGCCCTCAGATTTCAATGGGGTGATTTCCAGGTCCCTGAGAGGTGGCACTCTCTCCTTGTCAGCTTCTCCAACCCTGTGCCGTGAACAAGCCCCTGTTGTTATGTGTCAACACGGACTGACAGGTCTAAGAAAGATGAAAGGGCCCAACGCCAAGGCGCACAGCCGGGCCCTGTCCAGACATCACACTGCCTCTCTCCTAATGCAGTCAGAGGAAAGGAACCGTTGTAGAAACTTTGCTGGGCTGTGTAGGGAGGAAACTCACTGGCCACCTGGTGGGGGACAGGGCAGTTTTCATGCCGTTCCTGCAGTGGTGGGTCTCCTCTAGAGCACTGTCACGTCCTGCCGGCATCCATCCCCAGTGTCCTTCGTTCGTGTTGCACACTCCAGGCAGGAAGAGAACAAGGCCTCTGGTTTTGAAGAGTGGGAACAGACATCCAAATCAAAAGCCTCACTCACAAGCTAAGAGGATGAAGCAGCCCTGGCCGGTGTGGCTCAGTTGGTTGAGTGTTGTCCTATGACCAAAATGTCGGTAGTTCAATTCTCAGTCAGGGCACATAACCCAGGTTGCAGGCTAGATCCTCATTTGGGGGTATGCAGGAGATGGCCAGTGGATGTTTCTCTCTCATATTGATGTTTGGCTCTCTCTCTAAAATAAAAATAAAAAATAAAAACTTTTAGCCCTGGCCGGTTTGGCTCAGCGGTTAGAGCGTCAGCCTGCGGTCCAGAGAGACCCGGGTTCGGTTCCCGCTAAGGGCAGGTACCTCGGTTGCCATTTGTCCCCGGCCCTGGTTGGTCATGCAGGTGGCAGCCACTCGATGTGTCCCTTCACGTCGATGTTTCTCTCTCTCTCTCTTCCTCTCTCTCCCTCCCACTCTATCTGAACAAAAAATGGAAAAATGTCCTCAGGTGAGGATTAAAAAAAAAAAGAGGATGAAGCAAGTACTAGGGACACTGACTTTTATGCCTGTTAAAGGTTTACTGAAATAGTAACCAAGATTGTGATTTTTTTCCAGAAGGGAGATTAGGCCCTGGCCAGTATGGGTCAGCGGTTAGAGCATCGGCCTGCAGTCCAGAGAGACCCGGGTTTGGTTCCCGCTAAGGGCACGTACCTCGGTTGCAGTTTGTCCCGGTTGGGTCATGTGGGTGGCAACCACTCAACTTGTCTCTCTCACATCGATGTTTCTCTCTCTCTCTCTCTCTCTCTCTCTTTCTCTTTCTCTCTCTCCCTCCCACTCTATCTGAATAAAAAATGGGAAAATGTCCTCAGGTGAGGATAAATATATGTGTATATATATGTATATATACACACACACACACACACACAAAAAAAAGGGGGATTAGTCCAGCTGGTGTGGCTCAGTGGTTGAGCAGCGACCCATGCACCAAGAGGTCACCGGTTCTATTCCCAGTCAGGGCACATGCCCAGGTTGTGGGCCAAACCCTAGTGGGGGCATGCAGGAGGCAGCCAATCGATGTTCTCTCTCTCTCCCCCTCACTTCCTCTCTAAAATCAATAAAGAAAAAAAATTATTTTAAAATACATTTCCTGAAAACACAAATGAATGAATACATAAAAGAACATCAAGGAATGGCCCTGGTGAGGGTGCTGGCGCAACCTGCCGTGAGCAGGGCTCATATTGGGAAAGTCTCGCATGTTTTGGTAAGGATGGGGGACTTGATCCGGGGGGGGATGGGAAATGCATAAAGCAGGACTGTGTGATCAGATCTGTGGTGTAGAAAGAGATCTCAGGAGGCTGGAGCTGGGATGGGATGTAGGAGACACCCTGGAAACAGCAAGATCAGTCCAGGGGCCACTGCAGGGCCCCAGGTGAGAGAGGGAGCGGGGGCCTGAACTGGGAGACATTTAGAAGGCTATGGCCCCCAGCAGATGCTGCCTTGCCCCCCTCTGCTCTCTTCCTACTCGATTACTGATTGCTCGCACTAGTTGGATGGACTGATAAGACTATTCCCTTAGAGAAAACCCCATAGTGTCCAGCTGACCCTCTGGTCACTGACAAAAGGGGTGATCTCAGAGAGGGATGAGGTTCCCATGGCTTCCTCCTGCCCCACAGAACCCCTCCCCACTGCCTCCAGTAGGACTAAGGACTTCAGATTTCTGGGGAACTTGCCAGGAATTCATTGCCATCATTGCACTTTATCGGAATCAAAAGAGACCAGCCTGCGTAGCTTGGAGCCTGTGTCCTCTCAGCCAAGTGGATGAAAGGCTGGGCACAGTGGAAAGACTGGAGGGGTGGAGCCTATGCCCCCAGCCCCCAGAGAACAGGTGAGGGGACTTTCCATCTTACCCTCACAAGGAGTCCCTGATTGCTGGTAGACTGGGCAGGGTTACAGAAGGTCATCAGGAGAGAAAGAGTGGAAGTGAAAAGACACCCGAAGAGGGAACGCGATTTGGACACAGCACTGCACAGGCAGAGAACCAGCTGGCCAGCGCAGACCGCGCTCCCTTTTCTCGGGTGATAAACATGGCCAAATGACCTCCAAATGACCTCAGATCTTTTTTTTTTTTATCCTCACCCAAGGACATTTTCCCATTTTTTTGTTCAGATAGAGTGGGAGGGAGAAAGAGGAAGAGAGAGAGAGAGAGAGAAACACCAATGTGTAAGGGACACATCGAGTGGCTGCCACCCGCATGACCCAACCAGGGCCGGGGACAAACTGCAACCAAGGTACGGACCCTTCGCGGGAACCGAACCAGGCTCTTTCTGGACCACAGGCCGATGCTCTAACTGCTGAGCCAAACTGGCCAGTGCAAATCTTTTAAAAAATCTTCCTAGTTGACTTCTTCTCAAGTCATGACCCCTATTCTTTCTCAGTCCATTTGCTGTTGAATTTTGGGAATGAGCACTCAGCTATGTATGGGTCTGCTTTCTGTCTCTCATGCATTTCCTTGACCATCGCGATCTTCTCTAATTCTGGAAGGTTAGCGTGGGCAAAAAATTCAAATAATGGACAATGCCTGGTACAGAACAAGAATTCAGCCCTAGCCAGTTTGGTTCAATGGTTTGTGTCGGCCTGAGGACCAAAAGGTCATGGGTTCGATTCCCGGTCAAGGGCACATACCTGAGTTACAAGTTGGAGCCCTGGCCCCAGTCAGAGTCATGCCGGAGGCAGCCAATTAAAGTGTCTCTCTCACATCGATCTTTCTCTCTCTCTCCCTCCCTTCCATTCTATCAAAAAAATCAGTGGAAAAATATCTTCAGGTGAGGATTAACAAAAAAAAAAAAAAAGAGAGAGAGAGAGAGAGAGAGAGAATTCAGTAGATGGTGCTACTTATCCTTCCCCCTCCTGACCTCACCCTCCACATCAAGGACGAAGGGAGATATCAGGTCTAGCCCTCAAGCAGCAGAAAGTAGACTGAGGGTCTAGAATGCAAAGTCCAGACCCCGCTCCCATCAAGCTTTGTAGAACCCTCTCTGAAAGGTCACTAGCAAGTCCAAGACCCCTTCGACTCGAGAGCTTAGAGGCATCTGGTAGGCCAACATCCCTTCCCTCTTGTAGGTCCATGCTCCCTTGGTTCTCTGACAGCACACAATCCCATCGACTGTTGGAAAACCCCTTTGGTGTTTCCTCCATTTGTTTCTCTTCCTCCTCCTCCCTGTAAATGGTCTTGATCTTGGCTCACTCAATATGTTCTCCTTTTGGGACCACATTTGAGATGACTCTATCTTGAATCTATATCCACTCATTTCCTATTCATGCAAAACTGAATGTCCCACTAGCACCTCAAACTCGATGTCACCTCCTTGAGTCAATGGACAGGTCC